GTGAGCAGTCATATGATATGTTGTGCTAGCATTTCGATTTGTGGGGGGTAACTAGTGATAAGAGTATACTCGTACGGGCCACAAGTATGTAAGCTAGTGAAAACACCCATGACCATCCAGAGTCCATATCAAAAATTATTTAGCAGAAGACGTGAGCGGTTTAATCGATAAACAAAACAAATTTATCTTGAATTTTGATGCCTTGTGCGCAAGGCGCTCCCCTCACTGGGATTGCAGTAGCTGATGAAGCGATCAATAATCAGTTCTCTATTGAATCCTTCGTCCGACTGGTGCTGTAAAAAACGCGTGAACTTTCTCAGCTCGACGCAGAAAAGTTGCGCTGCAAATATGGGTAAACGACTATCGGCGCTTTCTGCATGCACGTTCAGGTTGAATTCGTGTCGGCATTGGCGGGCGGTCCTTTCCCGAAGTGCTAAGGCCGAATCGAGAGCTTCTGGTTCCTAGGTGCGGTGGAGGGTAGTGCGCGAGGCACAGGGCTTGCCAAACAAAGATGGTAGCCAGTATGACGCCTAAAATAATCCACCAACAGATTGGAAGCGTCACCTGGAAGGCTCGGAAGGCTAGGGGGTCATCCAGCGTCTCGCGCCAACGCTCGCTTCCGGCGCATGCCATGCTGGCTAGGCAAAATCCAGAAAGCAACCATAGAATCTTGACTTTCATGTAATGCTTTAGCTGTGCGGAAACTATCCATCTGAAATGTAACACGAACAATGACACATTGGCAACGCGAGTTGTCGCTGCAGGTCGTTTTCCGTCAAACGCTAGAGCATCATGGCCTTCTCTGGAATACTATTGAAACGGCAAGCATATCAATTTTTAATACAGTTAATTAAGGCTTCGGATGAATATGAGTTCACCAACCTGCGTCTCATGACTAGCATTTTGTGGCGCAGCTCATTGGGGATGACGCCAAGTACGCTCTGAGAGAAGACGGGGCAGGATGAGGCCTCCATATTGGCGTAGTGGAAGTTGCGTGGACTGCCATAACTATACCTTTTCCAAAGCTGCCACTAAATTGAATGAGAATTGCTTACCGTCGGCTGCCAAGTGTAGCCACGTTCTCTTTCATGCTCAAACAGGACGTACCACAAGTCCTGGTTGCACAGATACAAAATGCGGGGAGTTCTCCTGCGGAAACTGTGTCAGGCACTCTCTTTTATGTGTTAGATATTCAGCATCTAAAACCCAGGTTACTGGTAAGTAGTGTGTGGCTGGCATTCCATTTCCAGGCCACGCGAACCAAGGGTACATATTTTTCTTGGGCGCACCCTGTCGCTTTCATAGCGGTATTTCTTGACATCTACAACTTGGTATATTTTCGCCATTTTCGTTGCTCCTGGGGGCTGTTCTTCTAGCCTTCTGAGGAAGATAATCCTGTCACAGAAACGTGCACACGCCCGCGCAAGACGGGTATGACCTGCACCTACCTCTGCCTGCGTCCAAACCTTTAGAGTGACTTTTTTCCCTACAGCGACGGCAGTAAAACAACCAAATTCCTTTTGTCATCGTCATTAATGTTCTGATTTATCAGTAACTCCTCTTCTGTCACGGAGACCTTCCGGTTTAGTGGATTGGAAGCGCACCCCTGGCATGCCGCTCGCGCTTAACTTATGGCGTTGTTGTTGTACTTGTGATAGTGAATGTACCCCTCGGTAGAAGGCTTTAAGTACACTTCCCTTTCTTCGGTTGTAGTAGCAGATTGCAGTTTGAGTGGATTCTTCAAAGCTTCCACAGGGTGTGCAACCATGGATGGGCTCAGGGGGTGCCCGGCAGATGCGGATTCACGGGGCTGGAAGCCAAATGCCAAACACACTGTTTTCAATAATTCAATTTCCGCCAATATCTCTACGAAGTGTTTAAGAAATCATTCTTGCGGATAATGGAGCTCGGAAGATATCTCGTTCCAGATCACCTCAATGGAATCGTCTGGGTTGCCTTATGATTGGGGCTCCTATCATGCGAACAGATTGAGCAGCTAGGCGTGCTCACCTCTTTTTTCCCCCTCAGCTTCCTATTTGCTCTTTGATTGTAGAGTGCGACCTGGACGGACAGAACACTTGCCGAATACTAGCCAGAGCTGCTGCTGTTCGAGGCTTGGCGGCAGGTGGCAGGTGGTGGTAACCACGAACATCTGGCGGCGCACAAGCGAAAACATGCTGTATTGGGGTAAACTTTCTTCACTTCTGTTATTGTGAATTAAACTTGGTACTGTTCACTCTCCTTGGAGGCCATGGTGATCCTTAGAATTGTGATGCGCGGCGTCGCTGGCATTACATGTTTGAATCAAGTGCGTTCAGGGACCTTTGATAGGGGGACGCCACATTGATAGTATTGTGGAATCCCCTTGTGCACAGCGAATTTTCAGTTTCGTTTAGGAATATCATGCCCAGTGGGCAGCTTGACGGGAGGAGCCCGCCACCAATTGCTGAGGCCTTCCTCTGCTCACTATTGGGAAAAATGCCACATTCTTTAGTGGTACGTAGTGCTCAGCCAGACACTCTTGTGCATTTACCAGTGCCCTTTAATCCAAAGGAGCTTACCGTCGCCATTTGAGTCTAGGCAAATTGGGTAAGAAGGATGCCCGCTTCCCGCCGATGGCGATGAATTGGAGGGGAAGAGGATGGAGAATCTAAGGACGGCTGCACATGGTGGGAACGTCTTGGTGCCGTGGTGGAACCTACTTCCTGAGGATGTGTGTTCATAAAGAGACTTAGGCATGCCACACCTTGCGCAGCTGGTATGCACAGTCCAACAGCAGTAGAGGCAAGTCTGTGCGTTTTCTGGGAAATAGTGACCGAGGCCCAATGAATCTAGTGCTGACGGAATCAGAATGCAAGATGGCTTCGTCTCAGATGTAACGTGGAAACTGACACGCCGTGCAGGCAGCTAGTGAAGCGGGGCTGAGCTGTTTATGTCAGCCAGTCACAATTATCTCCTGAGGCGGAGTAGACGCCTTCTCTGACTCGGGTGGCAGGCTTATGGCGCAGTGTAGACAACAAGTTGATTTGTAGTTAACGCTTCACGTAAACAACTACCTTGCTATCTTTAGCTAAACAGGGATTTGACCGAGCCATCCTATCCATCTCTCCCCTTCGAGGGAGTTTGGGCATCTATACACAGTAAGTCGTACGCGTCTAACTTCTTACGAATATGAGATCTTCCAAACAGAGGTCTGCGTTCGTAGGACTAGCTCATACGTCTTGAGTTTCGCATTACCGCATGGTTCAGATGAAAGCTGCGCTTGTCCCTGCTACTGATAGTAAAGAACGTTTTGTGCCCCAAGTGCTGCAAGGCTAAGATGCACATAGCCCGAGTTGGCATCTGCAGGAGAGGGGAAACCAAAGCTCCGCTGGGTGAGGTATCAACCACGTGAGTGTGGTGGGAGAGGCTGCACGAAGTAGCAAATGCCTCAGAGCAAGGCCGGTATTGGGTGTTCGCGTTATTAGGTACTGGGGTCAGGCCAGTCTACTTTGGGGTGCTTGCTTTCTGGTGCACATGCTTGGTTCTATGGGGACGGCAATTGCCGCCGGCATTCTTTCGTGCTCAGTTCGTTTCGGATGTAGCGTTTGAGGCCTCTTCTCCCGCTTTAATGGTTCGCTCTTCCGTTGCCGTCTCGCTTGCTCACGGCTTGAATACACCTCTTCCCTTAGTTTCCGAAGCAAGTGCTCGTTGGCCTGCATTTCCAAAGCCGAATTACACGCACATGAAGTCCCATCCTTTCTGCATGAGCCGGCTGTCTTTTGCAGCTGGGGTCTGCCGTGTTCCCAAAGAGCGAAACAGTGCCGGAGCGGGGGTCAGGATAATTTGCTGAGTGTTTATTATTGTTTCTGAATCGTCGAAATCACGTGTTGGAGAGCAGACTGTTTACTCCGTGCTGACTCTTAAAGTGCCTTGCAGTTGACTGGGGTAACCAGCAACAGCTGGCAGGTTATCCGATGCACAATACAGTCATACGCACCCGATGAAGGACTCCCAGATGCCCAGCACTAAAGGGAGATGAAAGGCAATGCGGAGACTCTGTAGTGCACCTGCTTGCATTAACTCTACCACCTGCGCCTTCTTCCGTAGCTTCTGTTGGTGAGAGCGACGCTAGTCTCTCAATTTGTTGGAGCCTGAGACGCTCTTCTGCATGTTGAATGAGTGTTTCCACGGTGGCAAGAGCTGAACTTGCCACTGAAGCAACGGAGTACCCCTGCAGGTGCAGGAGGGCTCTCGTCATGTTGGAAAGGGCTGCTGCAGCTGCTACGGCCCATGGGGAATTGGTGTTAATGGTTGCTAATGCCTGCACGACTGCTCGGATTCGGTCAGCCACTGCAGTTACACCTGCAGCTTGCTCAGTTTGCATGGCATCCGAAGTGAAACTTTCCTTCCCTGAGCAAGCGTCCAGGTGAGAATTTTGGGAATGCATGTACGTGAAGGCGACGCCTGCGCCGCAGAATGTTAAGTTTCGGGGTCTCATGCGTTCAATGCAGCAGTCGACGGGAGGAGATACTTGCCTTTTGGTGTCGTGGTGCTGCCCAGTCTCTCGCAGCCTTCTGGGGGTTGGTGCTGTAGAAGATTTAGACAATTTTCGTAGAACTCAATGCTGCGTTGAAGAAGGCACTGAGTCTGCGGGGCTTGCTCAGTGGCGCCACAGACTGTTGGAGGCTGCTTCGCTTCAAAAGCGTGCCCAGGTCTTGGCTTCGCTGACGGGGCCTGCACACCCAGCCTCCCCTGTTGTGCTGCCGACGCTAACCGAAGCAAAGTATCGGCTTCCTCCTTCACTTTTCGCATCTGTTGAAGCCTTCAGCAACGACACATAATCATTCTTATGAAACGGCGGTGGTGCTTTCTCAAGAGCTGGAAACTTGGAGAAGCATGAGAAGGGATAAGGCGCGGTATGGAAGTGAAAATAGGGACAGCGCTATCTCCCGCGTTTCCAGGAAAAGCTACAGCTAGCTAGTAGTACACCGCGTCACCTTGCTTGTTGCAAGAAACAGCTACAGCTGGGTAAGGGTTTTGTCAAACCTCCGTATGTGCAGCAAGTCAACGGATACGGCAGCTCTCTGTTGATCTAAGCAGCCATTGCCTCCAAAATCCGTTTGATTCAACCTGGCCAGCGTTTGTGAAGGCTGAAGCTCCAGCAATTCTTCGAGGCTTTTTGCCGCGCTGCCGACAACACCATGCGACTAAAAGCAACTCGCAGCTACAAGCACTCACAGCTACGCCTACACCGACATGCTACTTTCTCTAGCACATACGGCTTTCTCTGTGTGTCTGAAATAATTGCGGGGAATTCAATGCAAAAATAACAGGCGTGACAAGCAACCTACTCTTCCAGTGAGTCCAGCCTCAAGAACGCAGCAGCACGTCGAGCCAGCAGGATGTGCTGCAAGTGCAGAAGCTCCGATTCCTGTGGGCCTTTCTCAAGTAGCTGTCCAGCTACAGCTGCTGCTGCATCCTTCTGCTGATGCAATTCCTGCAATAGTGTCATTGCTTCACTGCAGTCCGAAAGAGCCTGCCGCAACGAACCCCATTGTATGTGGCCTTTCTAATAGATCAAAGTGGGCTTCCTTGGGCTGTCGAGCATGATTGCCCGAGCTCCATCACCGCACTCTTGTGGCATCAAGTAAACAGGCTAGATGAGGAGTGTGCAGAACGCTTTTCACAGGCTGTTTTACCTTTTGAGCAACTCCTGAAGCTAACCGGGCCAGGCTACGCCCACACAGTGCCTTGATATAAACCAGTCGGTAGATTGTGTGGCTCTGTGATGGCTGTAAAATCAAGCTATATGTTTCATCCGCTGCTGCTGTATCTCCCCCAATTAGTAAGCGGGTTGCTTTGGAGTGTAACCATAGTGGACTGGATTCCTGCAGCCTGGATAAGTCTTCTGGCTTGTCCCTGTTGTAAATATCCCTGCCGAGATCTTGTTCAGTTTGAGGCAACGGTGGGGCAAGAGGGCCTCGGGCAGGAGCCTTGTTTGGCCTTCTAGCGGCAAACGAAACCTTTATTTTCGTGCACGGTGACGGGTTGATGGGGTGAACTTCTGGCACTGCCAGTTGCCCATAGCTGAATGCTCGAACGAGTTCCTTATTCAGAGGAGCAAGATTGCTCGTTTGTTCCGTGCAGGCTTCAGGCCGCGTGGCAGGCGTCGGCACTGGTGTTTTGGCCTGTGCCTCTTCGTTTCTCTTTTTTGCATATGCCTTGTCATTGAAGCCTACAGCTGCGCTTTGCTTTCCCCCTACAGTCCCGTTTGGAGAACTGGCTGCGCTTGAATCTGCTACGAGGCCCGCGTCAACGTGCTCTTGGAAGTGTTGCACCCCCTCTTGAGAGCTGCATGAATCTGTCGTAATTTCTGCTTCACAAAAGCCATGCAGTTTATTTTCCCATGTTTGATCGTCCGCCAGGGGAGAGGAGGTCGCCTCCTGCGTGTCTCTGCAGAGAGCTGACTGTTCACTTTCCTCCGGCAGCTGGTCGAGGACTTGCTGCACTTGCATGCTCTTTTGATATTCATGCCATTCCCGCTGCTCCTGCTGCTGCCTCCAAATGTGTTTCTGCTGCTGCTGTTTGCGGGCGTCACGCGCAGCAATGCGCTGCTGCTGGAGTTGCTCCTGCCACTGGGCATACGCCGCAAGAGATGAGCGCCTGCGCTCCCTAATATCATGTTGCTGCTCCGGGCTGCTCACCGCTGTCAAAGAGTCCCACAGGCCTTCTTCCACCTTGGGCACGAAAATAGTCAGACAGCCAGCTCCCGGAGTGACCGTAGCAGACCGAAAGGCGACGTCGCCCCAGAAGTCAAGCTCGAGGAGCCACGGATGGCAGCACACGCGGAGGTGACAGCTGGCAACAACGACAGAAAGTTTCTCGCTCTGCCGATGCCGCAGATCAGCCTTGAGGGGGGGGATGCTCAGGCGCAAGGAAAGGTGCGTAGCTGTTTGTGACCACTCGTAAGCAATCGTGATCGGCATTGTCTGGGTTCTAATCTAGTGTTGTTAGCGTAGAGCAGCGAAGAAACACGTCAAGTGCACTTTTGTCCCGATGTCTCAGTTTTGTCGAATTCAACGGCTTTAACGGAGAAGGATTCGTACCCACACTACAAGAATGCAGCAAGCATGAAGTAGCTAAGGCTGAGTCTCGTGTTCGCGGGGAATGTTACGCGCCAGGTAGTCTACCAGACCCCAAATTGTGGGTGTTGGACACTGAGTTACGCAGGCAAAAATTTCCGGAGTCTGCGCAAAGTTCCGGAGGAAGGTGCTGGAGATATCAGGAAAGCGCGATCGGTAAGTCAGTTGTTCTTGGTGCAGGCCTGAGATTTTCGGCAGCTGTGGTTTGTTGCAGTAGAAGAGTCTCCAAATGACGTTACATAAGCTGTATATGCACTGTACGTCGCCGAAACATTCTAGTCAGTGGCACCAAAATCCCAGGTCATTTAGCGAGAGGGGTTGGTGGGCGGTCGTGTGACGATGGACACACCACAAAACATAATGACCGCCGTATCCCAACTATGCCGAGGCCACGAGAGAAGTCAGTTAGGAAAATGTTCTCGAAAATTCGGATGCGAATTTCTGTTGCCAACTAAAGTTAACGTTTTCGATATCCCGGTGGCGCTATCGAGCGGCCCTACAAGCGGGCGAGGCCCAGGCCCGCCGTTTTCAGGCTGCCGAAGCCGCGGGAGCGCGTCCCCAAAGGGGTAAGCAGAATGCGATCGTACTCTTCTCAGACCTAATTGCGTGCGGAAGTTCAAGAAGACGATACAAGACAAAACAGCATGAATTCTCTTGATTACCTGTGTGAGTTCTCTTGCCTTGCCCTGCCCTTGGGTCACCTTGCTTAACTGCTAGACGGCCACTCTGTTCCTCGTACACCAGTTGTAAACCGTCGGAGGAGGCGGGGAGAAATCATCTGAAGCCACCTGTCATGCGCTATGCCGTTGATGTTTCGGAACCCGTTGGCGTTGGGCGGTGGCGTCCACCCGGGAAAAATTACGGAGACAAGCGAAACGCTTGTCAACGTGTGTTTATGCAACACTAGATTTAGTTTCTGGGAACTACCTTAGTTCGCACTATGGTGCCTTTCTTGTTCGCAGTGACCAAGCGTGACTGCAGTTGCAAGGCGTGCAAGAGGGGCTAGAACGATGTATCCGACTCCAGAGATCGACTGCGTCTCCACTACAGTGCCTCTTTCATCAGCCAGTTCAGTTACAATAGGGCACTGGAAGCAGGTGAACCGTATCCGACACTGCAGCCTTTCGGCGTGCTGCTCTACCCACTACTTGCAAAAGGGAATTTCAGCCTACTTATGCCACGTTTTTGCCCGAAGGCACAGCAGGGAGAAGACAGGTGTTCTTTGCGCAGAAGTACAGCCTGAAGTTTTCTGTGCTGGAGTGGCCTAGGGAAGAGCAGTTAGGTTACTTGTCCAACCTACGTAAATAATTGCCATTACTATACTGGAGGAGATAGTTGACCCTTATTGAATGTGCATGGTAACGTGAGCTGCTGCCCTCCATTTGTTTCATTCCTCTGTGGTGCGGTGGTGAAACCGTAGTCAGTCTTTGCATTACTGTTCATTTCACATAGTCATTATGCCCCATTGCATTCAAGTCGCTCCACCGACGTTTTGGGTAGCAACTCCACGAATGCAGCAATACGTAGTGGTAGTCAAAAACCGATCTTGAGTTCCGTGTCAGTTCTGTCCGGCTACAGATCAAATTAAAATAAAACGCATTCACTATCATTGTTCATTGTTCATCTGCTGCCACCAACGATGCACTGTACTTTTGCATTTGGTGGCTTGAGCGGGTGGCACGCACTCGGTAGTGCGCTGCAGGACATCTGTGAAGACCTAGAGTCAAATTACAGGAGACGGGGATACTAAAGGACATGGGCTAAAATGGCAGTGAAACTAGACGCTTTTCTTCCCTGTAGCTTGGAGATGTGCTGGATTATAACCGCGTCTCTGTAAAGCCCTACATGGAGAACATTTGCCAAAAACGTTTGTTCCTCCCTGCTGTTTGTTCGTGAGGTTGGTCTAGAGGGGCATTAATGAGCCACTTTGTAGCGAGTCTCGTTGCCACCCCGGGTGCGGGCGGCGTCCTGCCTTTTCTGTCTCGGTAGTCTGGGGTGTTAGGTCGATCTGCAAAACAGCCAAAATCGATGGGGCCAAGATGTCTTCATTGTGGGAGACCCGCTTGTGACAAATGCCACGGCTGCATGAAATGCAATTGTCTCTACTAGTAAGCGCGTACCTGAAGGCTTCGCATGTGCCACTGGTCGTTGCATCGTTTTCTGCAGGTCTCATGCTCAACACAGGGGATCATCCCCCCCTGGGCAAAACAGCAATCACAGCTAGCGCCCCACTAATTCTGCTGCTTTCCCTGCACTTAGTGAAGGAGGAGGATTTGCTAACAAAGCGATGAATGCATTGCCAGCAATAAAATACAATACAAATGACAATCCTCACGAGCAAATGGCTCTGCAGTCGTGTGGCGGCGGTCCTCCGAGCAGCTCGAAAAGTTCCCTCTGTAAATGGTGTGCACGTTTGCTGAGGTCAGAGACAGCGCAGAAACATAATTTAGGCAAGAACTGCATTCTGAAGCACGGCCAAAGCACTTTTCCTGAAACAATGGAATTTTTGTTTGCAGGTGAGCGCCTCACATCAAGGTTATCGCTCTCCACTTTGCTTCTCCTTTTGCCCTGAGCAAGCTTCAGGGAATCGGGTTCCACGGGATACAAGGTTGACTGCATATAACCACACAGATAGATGCGTGGATGTGCGTAGTCCGTTAAATATGCATTTTCTACACTACGTGCCATGCAAAAATTATACATTAGCTCGAGCTGCTTCCAAAATAGTTTTGAACTGGACGATTCCTATCCTAACGGTCGACAAATTTAGCGCACTGGATCGAGATGCCCTCGAGTGTATTGTTGGTGAGTGCGGTTCTTCATTCTTCTTTCCGCACACGAAAATTCGTCAAAGCTTTGTCTTGGGATCAAGCCAGCCTAAATACCGAGTAACACGAGGTGAAATGAATGATGCTTGATTCATTCAGTGCTGGCAGCACTGTGAACTGTCTAACTGCAGTTCTGAAGGGCATTGCTGGTCAATTCCAAAACATACCCCCAAGTTTTCCTCCGTTGCAGTTCCCCTTAGCTTCCGTGGGTCCGGTAGCTGGTAATTAAAAACATCAACACCCCAGCGGCATGGATTTTCTGCGGCGTGGACAGTAGATGTTCGACGATATGCAGGCACCGTCGGATCACCGGCCCTGCGAACGGATAAGCCAGAACCTCTAGCGATTATTAAGATGTGGAGAGAGTGCCCCCAGGGCATGAATGCAGTGTAACAAAAGGGGAGCGGAGTATGGTACACCAAAACGTACACATACGAATGGCTGATTATGCCTCGAATATCGTGCTGATCACGATGAACATTCGACAGCGCCTTCCCTCCTACGTGGGGCTTGCATCCACCTGAGTTGTGTGGATTTCCATTGACAAAGCGGTGCTCCAAAACGTCGCCGAAATTCGGCTTGCCAGGAGGTGCAATTTGTCTTTTCAAACCCTGCAAAGGCCGCATTTTCCCCGCTTCAGCTGATGATCCTGGCAACCGGCAGATATGCAGAGTTTCAGCTTCTTCAGTGCCTGAGAAACACACGTTGACTGTTTTGTTGCACCATTACCACCACTACTTAGTACGAAGGCCTTTAGCTAGACACTACGGAATCGCTGCCTATGCAAACACCTCACCGCTTGATGTCCACCTAATGACATCTTGAAGCTTGCTGCTGGAGTTTCTCCGTTGGAAGAGTTCCATCTTCCGAACATTAGGGGGCGTGGCAGGCTCTTCAAGTTTGCCGCTGAGCCTCGCGGCAACCTTCAAGGAGACGACAAAACACTCACGTTAATAGGCAAGCCTGCATAACACGGGGTTAGCGTGTTCCAGCCCAAGTGTAGATATCCCAGGCTGCTAAGCACGGTTCTAGATGTCACACCTGAGAGTCCGAAGGGTGTCTACGAAGGTGATGCCAACCTTTTTCCCCGTCCTCCTCCCATGTTGTTTGCAAGCCTGCAGCAGAGCCCCTGCGATAAAGAGAAACAGAAGCAAACAGCCTTACGTTTTCACGGAGGGCGCTACGAGAACCTCAAGAAGCCCTCAATACCTTGTCGTAGCTTACTTAGTGCTGTTAGATCCCGATTCAGGAGGCTGTGGTGTACCGAACCATGCCGCTTGTGGTTGCCTGAGCAAGCACTCGCACAAGAACTCGCCAATAATAAATAGACTGTGCTCAATGGGTTGCTTAACCCGAGTGAAGCGGAACATTTATCTCTCCCCACCTGAGAAGCTCTTCTGTCCTTTTTCCATGAAGCGCTCTCCAGCTCTGATCTTCAACGCATACGCTGGCTTCCATTTTGCAAAGGAAATGGGTGTTTTAAACTCTCAGGTTGGAGTCCGTATGCGCAGGGAATTCTCAACTAAGGAGAAATAATCCGTCGTCTAAGAATGCCCTAGCGAAGGCGAATCTGTCACGAAAGTGCCCAACTGTCTACTTGTAAAGAAGTTCTTGTTGAACCCACGAACGGACTACGGCGGCAAGGGGACCACCGAGATATCAGAGGGCAGAGCAAGAGGCCAGCAGCAACCGCACCCCTACTCCCGAACTAGCTACTAATAAGATCACGAAGACAGCCAATTTGAAGGTGAAGTCGAATTCTTTTGCGCCACTTCAAGTTCCGGTCGGGTCCACTCTTCTCGGACAGTTGGACCATGCGATGCGGGTGTCCTCATACAACACATCTCCGAACCACACCGCAAAATGCGCAAAGAAATGATTTATGCCTATTTGGTGGCGGGAGAAACGCTACGACTTCTTATTTCTACGCCAGCTGCTTGTCGTAGGGACTACCGCACGATGCCAGCGGACCAGAGAGCCACGCGGGGAGGGCACACAGGCGAAAGGCAGGACTTCGAAGCTACGAGCTGCGGAATGCGTGTTGAAAGTAAAATCTGTAAAGGTTTAGGTGCTAATGAGGCAGTAGAGAAAAGCTGTTAAAGAAAAATTGGCCGCACTACACAACATTTCCTTGTCTGTCGTCGGACGACCTCGTGACAGTGCCGGCAAGTGAATGCTCCTTGCACCTTCTCACTGTTTTGTACGGCGTCTAGTACGAGAAAATATCATAATCGGCAATTGTATTTTATTGATGTACTTCCTTCGAACCTTCAAAGAGGGTATGGGCCCGTCTGCAACTGGTGACCGCCCCGTAGTCCCCAATGGACAAGAGGCAGCCGGCCACCCACTCACCCAAGCCGGCTGGACTCATCTACTGTGCCTAGATCCAGAGCACTGCAAAGTTTTATAAATCGAAAAAGAGGGAAAAACTTCTGCACCACTTCAGGGAACCAATTAGGTGTAGCACAACGCGGGCCATGCCAACCCGCCCGTCCGTTGTCTGCGCTGCTGCTAGCCTTTCGGCCGCTGTCAACGTCTTCAAAATTTTAAATAATCAAATGCAAACCATTGTCAAACAACACTTCCGGCAACTCCTTTTAGGGAAAAATGTGGAAGCCACACACCGACAGGGAAAAATGGAGCCGGCGAGCTGCGCTGCTCCTCCTACATAGTGGATGGGGACCATGCAGCGGGTGAGGGGCAGCTTCGGTGTCTGGAAGCAAGCCTGCCGCTACATTCCTACGACCCCGAGGTCGTCACTTCCGCCTTTTACACGCGCTACCCCCGCATGTCAAATGTTCCTTCCGAAGACCCGCCAGGAACGGCCCGGATTGCCAAGCAATTCGACATATCGTTGCAATGCGCTATCTCCCTGTGTAGACGGTAGAACTGCTAGGCGGCCTTAACAGTTGAAAATCAAAACATGGCCTACAGCCATCAGTGCTATCCATCTGATACTGCAAAGAAAACTGCCTAAATCTGGAACATAGCAAGCAAAAAACTACGTGGGACGATGTGAAGGCTGATGCACAATCCCAGCCTGCCACTGCGACACAGAAAATTCTAGAACAGTTCAGCGTAGTCGCACCATTAAATATGTTTTCTCCCGTAGGAGGCAGTTAGCCACCTAGTGCCGCCCTTTGCCCAAGTAAGGGACGCAACCAACTGCACGAAAATTGGGGTTGTGCAAATACTCTGTAGTGAGTTACAAAGGCGGAAGCGCGGAATGAATGTGAGAAGAATCTAGGTAAATCACGAGGTGTGCTCTCTAAAGATTTTGTTTAAAGAGGAAGCTGCTTGTCACCATCAAGCACCCATTTCGTACATTGTTTGAACCCTGGGAGCTGCAATATCCAGCATCCAATAGGAGAAAGGCGTACGGCACCCAGAACTTGTGGGAGGAATGAGGCAAAAAGGCGTAGCAGGCCGTATAGCTGCAGCGGAAGTCCCATGAGAGAGTATCCTAACGCAATCAGGAGCACTCCGAGGATATAGAGGAGCGAAGCCTTCCACTTTTGCGGCTTCAGGACAAAAAACTTCAGCGTCTTTCTGCCACCCAGCACTAACCCGATTCCTGACATAAACGCCAAGTTTCCGAGAGTTAGTAGAGCTCGGTCAAGAAAGCATAATACACCCACAAATCCTAGGCTCAGTCCCAAGAGACAAAGCCCCACTCCGATTCGTTGTCCATCGCTCAACATTGGAAAACAGCTCGACAGAACTGAGCAGCGTCGGCTGGTCAGAGGTGAAGACACCTTTATCTAGGAAGGGACCAACAAACAACTAACTTTCCTCGTCTCCGGATCCTCATCCCAGGTTATGACAGAATTCCATTCTTCGGTGGGTATGCTGTGCACCGCCGGCCTCCTGCAGTGTGCAAGTACTCCGACCCTGCGGGGGAGGCCGTGCGTCTAGTACCTTTCAACAAACGTAAACATTTCTCAGACGAGCAAGTTTATACGAAAAGGATGTGCTTGCCTGACACGGTATGAAATGCGGACCCCAAGGGCAGCTCCCAGCATATGTCAAGTCGCTCCGAAGCGGCTTTGAAATATGACCCAGCTGTTGTTCAGTTCTGCCGTCACCACCACTGTTCTATGCAAACAAAATAAGGCGGGGCTGTCCCGCAGAAAAGTGTTTGGAACCGGGGGACGCGTGGGCTGATGCCGACACACTCGCCCCAGTTTGTCTCGCGAACGGGCCTGAGCGTAGCACAGTATAAACAAAGTAGATAAAAGCGAACATATGACTACACAAAGGGTATGAATGCCATTTCAACTTCACTGGTGGATGTCTTGGAAATGTCAGACTGCAGTCCTCTAGGTTGCCCAAATCTGTGCACTCCACAAGCCCGCCAACACGTCCGTGGCCAGCCCCACTCGTATGGTCTAGCGAGCCACACTGAAGAAGCGTATGGAATTAAACTGAAACAAGTGACTTTTCCTGTTTTATTTAGTCATATGTAGGATTGTTGACCCTCACCCCCTAACAGCCTGCTTCCGCTTCCACATCGGGAAGCAGGCGGCCTTTTGCAGTGGGGAAGGCACTAGAGCCGAAGTGCCAGCATTTTGGAATGCAGTATCTCTTTTAACGGTCCCGGAGGCACTAGTAGGTTAAGTCACTAGGCAAAGCGTGTTTTTCTTTTGGGCCACCTCCATCAGTTTTTGCTACCTATGTTGCTATCTCGGCCTGCTGGCAACGGTGGCATTGTCCAAGAAGGGCGGTGATGTAATTTTTGCACGCAGATATATCTTCATCAGAAAGACCATGCCGCCACTTGCAACAGATGCCGCCAAAGCGGCAACTCCAGGGGATGCCCATCAACGGAAAAATCCCTTTCCAGAGTTTCAGGTGGGAAGCCTGGTTACGTTGAACGGAACCACGAGCGCATATCATATGTTCAGCTTGTGTGAAAATTGGCAGGTCAACACGAATTAGGAGCGGCTTGGCAGCCGTTTGACAGTGCGGGATTACGTGCCTACTCTGCAGGTTGTGGTACTGGCTGGCGGCTGTGGCTCTCGCCTGTCTTCACTTCTCGATCCCAGCGTTTCGGCTGGAACTGCGTCATGCAAGGCTCTCCTACCCGTGGCTAATAGGCCTATGATATGGTATTGCCTCAGAAATCTCCAGGAAGCTACGTTTGGCGGTATGGCGATGCCCGTGCAGCCGTCAGAACAAGGCGTCTTGCTAGTGAATGGCTTTGCGCGTGTGCTGTAATGCCGTGTAGTATGCACTGGCACTTCATACGCCTAATACTAAAGCGAATTCTTCACTTAAGATCTCACTAGGCCTTCAGGCAATGCGTGGTTGTGGCTTTCTGCCTTCAGACGTAATCGTCGTAACTCAGGCACAGCAACAGGCCGAGTTGTCCGCCTACCTTCAGCAGGAGTTCCGGAGTTCGTTCAGGCGTCTCGAAGTGGTTGGGCTTAAGTGCACACGCCAGGGGGAAGAAGATGAAGCAGAGGATGCTCCGTGCGTTGGAAACAGGCGACGCTCAGTCGACGTTTCCGACGACCCTGACCAACGCGTCTGCGGCACAGCAGAAGCGCTCCAGCAAATCCGTCACCTGATTACAACGGATTTTATAGTATTGTCGTGCGATCTCATCGGTCACGTGGACTTTTTCGCCCTTGCAAGTGAGTCGCTGCGAGTTTCAATGTAAACTGCCGCCCATTACCTGTAGCGATTACTTGTACGATCTCTGCGGGCCCTTTACTTTTTTTTTGTTTGCTGCTCTCATTTGTAATGAAGATAATGGATGTGCTCCATTTAAACTGTCGTGTGCGCAAAGATGCCTGGCATGTGCACGTTTGCCTTTTGTGCAGATCGTCATCGCGCAGAAGGAGCGGCTTGTACAGTTTATTTATTGCCTCGTGACCCTTTCGCTGAGCCTGCAGCAGAGCAGACTAAGGGGAAGGGAAGCGGGAGAAAGTCAAAGGAAACACAACCACAGAAGTGCGACACAAGCAGAGGCAATCCCGTGACAGTCGCCGTGGACGACTCCGGTATTCAGCTGCTGGGTATTCAGGACAGGCACAGTGAGCTTGCGCCATCTGCAGCTCAGATTACCTCCCGTATGCTTGAGGAGCACTCGCTCTACATCTGTGCCGCATGCCAAGCTTCGGCTGGCTCGATGCATACCTGCGCATTTTCAGGCATTAGCCACGGTAGCTCGTTACAGCTTCCGAAGTTGCATTTATTTTTGCATCCATCCCAGCACTTGCTGCCCGATTACTATGATCCTCACGTTTATGTTTTTGCTCATGCGACGCTGAAAATCTTCGACCAACCATCGTTGCGTCACAGTTTGTACTCTATTCGGGTAAGCTGCAGAATCGTTGGACAAGGAAAGCACGAAACTGCAGGCAAAATTTGTGGAATAAGTGAATCAGCACGCCATGCAGTCTCGCGTACTGGATAACCGACTGTGGGGCACGGAGTACTCTGGTGTTGCTTGTAGGGTTTAAATGGCTGCAGGGATCTGCACAAGCAGTGAGTGAATGAGTGTTTGGGTGTGTTCAGTTTGACCTCGTGCCCTATATGACCACGCTGCAGATGACTCACGCAGCACAAGGTAGGATAGGCTCCTTTTCCATTCCTGCTTTGCTGCCACTTCGCCGTTTGCTTCTACGAACCCCTTTCCAAGTAGGATGGTAGTTTTTGCGCGTTGCTCCGCAACATACGCAGTTTGGTCCAACAACCGGCTTGAGTGCGACGTTTTCGAGCGGCAGTTGTGGGCCATCCAGCAGCAAGGAGAAGAGGAAGCGACGTCAGCATCAGTGACTGCCACGGCACCAGTAAACGAACTGCCCAGTGGGAGCTCCTTGCCAATATTATACACCGCAGCAAACCCTCCACCCCGTCCTGTACGCGGCATGTATATGAATGCTGTAGCGTCCCTTGCATGCATATTAGCGCTCCGCATTGGCCGCTATAATGGAGCTGCACATTGTAGTGCTATTGAACTACCGGATGTTCGCAAGCTGTTGGAGGTTTCCAATGCATCGCTTGCTGCAGGCCAAGGGCAACCGGGTCGTATGCTGCATTCACCCAGAGGCCGCAGGGATTTGCTGTCGCGTCAACAATCTTGCTGACTATCGCGAAATGAACAATAAGGCGAGGCGCTACAGAGGCTCTTTTGGAGTTTTAGCATGCTGCGCTCAAGGCCGCAGACCTTAGCATGGGCGTACCTATGATGGTGCTTTTAGTTTGGACTGCTTGTTTGCAGTTTTGCTGCGGCCGGCTAGATGAACTACGGTCAATTCTTCCTGATTGGGCCCTTCCGGAGCACAATCCCAAAAAACCTGGCAGCGTGAGATGATCTTTGCTGATTTTCCGTTTAGAACTCAGGCTTTTGCTTTTATCCAGTGCGTTGGCCAGTACGCTGCACTCTGCCTATGCATGCATTTTTATCAGATGCGCGACTGCATCCTGGCGGAGAGCGCCACGTTGGAGGCCGACGTGGTGCTCAAGAGAAGCGTTGTTGCCAAAAACGCCCTATTGCGGTCAGGGTGTAAAGTAACGCAGTCGATCCTCATGGATGGCACGGAAGTGGGACCAAAGGCAGTACTCCAGGGTGTTATACTATGCCCTGGTGCAAAGGTCGGGAAGGACTGCAAGGTAAGACTTTTCGGAATAGATCACTTGTTGACGCAACTGGCTGCCAGTGCTGCTTCGAGGCCGTTTCAGCCAGACAGATGCGTTATGTGGATGCTGCTGCCTTGATCAACTGTTGCATTCTTACACTTGCGAGTTGCTCATCTTTCGCTTAATTTTGTGGTTTCAGCTTTCGAACTGTCAAGTAAGAGGAGGCTTTTGCGTGCCGGACGGGACGACTGCAGAGGACACCACATTGCCTTCCTTTACTGACGGCGTCGAGTTTGCAGCTTTACACTTGTAAATTGGCAAGGCGGCATGTGCCAGGGCGTGCGCAACAGAGCACCGGCGGCGTGGGACTGGAATGTTTTAGTGCTCCGGGTGATCTCGCCTCATACAGCGTGCTTGACCGACATCGTCGTCGCGTTGCTTGTGGTGCAAAAGATTAGCTGTCACTTGGACATGCATGCGCAGAAGCCACATTCCTCACCGTGCAGTTGTTTTCGATGCACGTACCTGAACGTTGGCTGCTTTTGAGCTGCGCTGCCTCCAGTCGATATGGCTTTGCTAAGCTGCGGCGGGTGGAAGTTCTCAACGTTTGCTGCTGTTTGCTGCTCGTTTATTGCTGCGCATCTATATTCCTGCCACAACAGATCGCCAGAACCCAGAAGGCAACATACTTTCCAGATGCGCTTTGCGAGGTTGGCAGGCATGCTCGAAGCTCATGCTTTGACTCGCTGAACTCTTCGTATCACGTCGCGTCTTGGAGTAGTGGAGGGTGCGGTGCAGCGGTGTGCAGTCCACATACTAGAGTAGTGCAGAGCGTTGTGAATGCGTATTGCATAGTGGGCGAAATGAAAGCAGGAGAGCTGAACCGTGGAAGCAGCTGTCGGTCTCTGCGACGGTTTAGGCCGCAGCCGACATACCCCCACCAATACACATCCTCATAGGCCGTGCACGCCGAGCGCTGCGATGCTTCGCGTGCAGGCGTCGCAGTGGCAGTGTGATGGCGTTGGCATTGCGTTGCCTCATCGTATGGCAACGTGATCGTAACAAGACCCGCTCGCTACTGCAGGGGGATGCATTCTAGCCCAACAGTCTCCACAGTCTCCCCGAGTCGGAAACCACCCGTGCAGGTTTTTCCACACTTACTTCGTACATCGTTCCCTTTAAAAAATTAAACTGTTAGGGGCATTCAAAGACACCTTTACTGGAAGTCGCCTGGAACCGCCTGAGAACCACTATCTAGGCAGTGGCACAGTACGGAGATGCCGTGACTAGTGAAACAAATACAAGGAAACAGGCAGCAGGCCTAATACTCTCAGTAACTTAGACCCGCACCTAAAACTGCACACCGGACACGGATGGGCGAAGAGCATGGAAGCCCTGATGCAGGCACTGCTACATTTCTGATAGTGGGACTACATATGAGCAAGCTGGTAGGTGCCCAATAACGACACAAAAAGCTCGTCTCAGCAAGATGCGGTGGGCTCATCGTGTAGAATTCGATTCGTCAGTATGTTCAACTCACGCTCAGCGCTTGCCCGCGCATGACGAAGCTCTTCACCATTCAGGCAATCGAGGCTGCTCGCACTCTCCAGCAACTCTGCTAGTTGCTTCATTCGGTGTCTGCTGAAACAGTCCTCGCTGACAAAAAAGTACTCTTGTCGCAGCCTCCGCAATCGCGTTGCTTCCTCCATTGACCCATCGGCGAATTCCAACTGTTCAAGTCGACGCGCTAGCCGCATCAGCGTTACCATTTCCCCTTCATTCCACGCTGGTGCATGCTTTCCTCGTGGGGCATTGACCGCCTCCACCGTTGGTGCTAGTCTGGAATAAGCGGCAGCGCGTTGTCCCCATAGCAGGCTCTTTAGCATATAGAAGCGCCCCTCCAGCAAGACATCATTGGAAGCAAAGCTGGACGCTGGTGGCATCTTCCGTGTGGCTTGTTGAATGTTATGCGCAACCACGCACGGCCGACCTTCCCTCCTACACTGCAGTTCTGCCAAGAGCTTCGCAGCGGACTTCTGCCATGCAGCATCTTCAGCTTCAGGACTCCAGCTAGCAAGAGTGCACGAATGAGCACCGTTGGTTCTTGACAGTTCTCTAGCGTTGGATGTTCGGCAAGCCCGCCTTGTCAATGTGATATATTGGCAAGGGCACGCCAGTAGTGAACCCAAAAACACACTTAGGACAATTGGCTCTCGCTTCGCAGAGGTGTTCAAGGCGTCCAAACGTTCTAGAACTCTCGCAACCCGATCAAAAGTGTAAAATCTTCTCCAAGGAGCTGCGTGTTCAGCGCACAGTACGCTCCAAATGGTGGCACATGACTGCAGCTCACTGACTCCTGCCTCGCTTTCGCTTCCTTCAAGCCACAGCCACGCTGCCTGAAATCGCTTGTAGAGCTCAGCAATGGATCCACAACAGAGCCGCTTCAGTTGCTGCTGGCGCAATACCGTAGAACTCAACTTACTCCGAAATGTATCCAATGATTCAGCTGCGGGATTCCGATGGTTCTGTGTGAGAGTATTCTGCCCCTCCTCCTCTTCCGCCTCCACAGGAGCTTTAGATTGCACTGTACCTCCGGCCAGCCTGGAAAAGCCACATTTTTGTTCAAGCTGACTTCCTTCCCTTAAAAGAGGGAAGGGCAAGTGCTCCGCGAGGGCTTCAGCGACCTGATGAACTATCCACGCATTTGTTGGCACGAGCCCCACAGTGAGCACAGAAACTGGCTCGTTCCCGGCTTCACCACGAATCCTGTTCACCATGTCGGCTCCCTTCACTGTTTCATCTGAAACCACTAAACAGTCGAATGCTATACGGTCAGCAGGGCCAACCGCATCAGTTATACGGAAGACCTCCAGCTGCAGGCTGTCACCCAACGCCTCTTCCACTGGACTAGTAAAAGCCTCCACTACTGAGCTGAAATCGCGGCCAAATTGGTTGGATCCACCTAGATGGGAAGACTGGAGCTGCAGCTCGTCCGATAAGCTTGCCTCTTCCTCCACCAATGCTTCTTTGAAGCCTGTCAAGCGTACTGCTCTCCCCCTTGATGCTGCAACCAACTGCACAAAGGCAACAGCAGCCTGAAGGCGAAACGCGAAGTGCTCTATGCCAGCTGCAGCCACATTTTCCTGAGACGCCATTTTCCTCTTGATCAGGGGGCCGGAGGCAACCGCCACACCAATTCGCTGCTGGGCCGACAATGCTGCTGCGGCCAACAGCAGCTGGTGACCAGCATGCAACCGATCAAACGTCCCAGCAACAAGCGTGTACCCGAACGGCGCTCCTACCTTAACTCTAGCGTTTGTCTCAATATTGTCTACGCGACTGACGACCCCACAAAACCCTTGAGAAACCCCGTGAGCAGCCACTCTGCGACGGCTTTCTTGGTTTGCAAGTGCCAAGTGTTGAACCCGTGAGATGCCTCGATCTTCTACCTCAACGAGTGATGCATGCTCAGAGGAACCAGCTTGAATGCTTCCACGCAGTGGGCTTAGATGACAATGCCTTGGCCAAAGTTCACAGGCTACACTGCTGGAAAACGCCGAAACATTATCCACAACAAGAGGAACTGCATTAGCAAGCGCAGCTTCATCGGCATACTGCCAGAAAACGTTGCTTCCAACACTCAGTAGGTAGTGATGCAACACAGCTGCTCTAGCTCGCTCCACCCAGTGCGTGCAAGCGAGAGTCGGCCCTTCCGGCGGCGCCTGCTCATGGGGTGTTTCACGCTCCCAGGGAATTATGAAGGGAACAGCTGTCAGCCCAAGCCGGCGAGCCAAGCTCCCCACCTTGGTGTTAAGGTACAAAATGAGATGCCATGCTTGTACCCCGCACGAAACCAAGGTGGCAGCATCACCAAACCGGTGGCCGTGTGCATCATACTGTGATTTGTTGGAAAGATCAGGAGATGAAGCAGTCTGGGCTTCGGCTGGTACGCACAGCAATACATAGAGAGCGCGCCTGGTAAGGAGTAGAGCACGGCCTAAGAAGAGCACCAGCTTGTCCAACTCGCAAGATTGCTCGGCACACGCATCCGCTGAACCATCCGCTCCCGCTGGAGCCAATCTGTGAACGACCCCCTCATCTATGATTGTGCATGCAGCATCTTCTTGGAAACAGCAAAACGTTGCAGGGTCCATCAAGACGATGTGGGGTTGCCTTGAGTACCAGCCTACACACGAAGTGCCGTCGACTTGCGTACCGCTGAGACACGAATGTGGGCGCTCGCGTATCTCGTAGAATGTCAAAAAGCGCCTTCAGATGTAGAATTTTCCCGCATCCTTTTAACTTCCAGGTGTTCCAATGGAAGAAGACGAAATTCGATGCGAACATGCAAGGCGGCGAGCGGCGCAAGCCACTGAAGTACTCAACTACTCTCAGTTCGGATAGCTCGTAACGAGACGAGCATGCAACACATCTTGAAAACTAATTTTGGAAAACAAATTAACGATTAATTAGGCTCAAGCCACGGTGAGCCGCAGCCACCAAGTTCCTTGTAGCATTCCACCACGTGCTGTTGTCTGCGATCTTGGAACGCGCGCACTCCCGAGACTGCAACTCCTGCGTCAAAACTAGCGATAAGCATATTACTAACAGTGTAGCAGCCCAGTATGCTGCATATATCTTATCCGCTCAATATAGCCAACAGAAGAATGTTAAGGAGCCCGCGCACAGGTACTTGGTGCGCAAACTGGCTATTGACTGCCTGCCAAGTGCTTAACTACTGTCTCCAGTTTTGTGCATGGTATGAAGAAATGGTGCAGCTCAGAAGAAGACGCTTTCGCTTCCCAAGAGGCACAGGGGCCTGTGTCGCCTTCCCCCGGGCCGCTGGAATCCAAAAGGTTCTTTTTGGGAATTCTCATTTTGACTATTTTGAGCCTGTTCTAACTCACAACGGTCGACGAAATTCCTTTCACCTGAGAGGGGAAGGCCTGCTAAAGCTCACGGAACGCTCAGCACGTTTTTGAATGCCCGAGTAGGGATGCATCTCCTACGCATGAGAAAATAGTTTGCCACGATATTGCTACAACCCTCCTTACACAGGGATTCTCCAATTTTGAAGAGGGCATTTTGCTGGCTGCGGAGCTGCCAACAGGGTTGCAAATATTTGACACCCCTCAAGCAATAATTTCCTCTCTCCGTGCATCATGTCCTGCCGTGGGAAACGTTTATGACTACTTTGGAACTTCGCTTATTCCATCCAACTGATAATATGAGGACAGGTATGAATACGGGGATTGCGGGCATGAACACCGGGACGCAAGTTCAACAAGTAAAGTTCTGCACCTCGGACCTCTTGTTTTGAGAGTGACCAGGAGGCGAAGGCGCCGACGTGCCTTTAACAGTCGGCAGAAAACAGGAATAGCGAGAAGTAGAAACTTTGTAGAGGAAGGAAGCATCGAAATGCTTGCATATTACGTTTGCATCTTGTACCGCCTGCTGTGGATTAGGCGCAACCCAGTAACGGACACTCAAAGACGCGATCTCATGATGCTCGTTTGCCTGGCAAGCGCGGCGTGTGGGCTTGCGCAGCACGCACGTCCAAAGCCTTTCCAAAGACACCTGTTCCCATTCCTCCTTGGGAAAAGAATTTAAAGACAGTGTCATTCTCACCTTTGCTTTTCAATATTTCTTTGAATGCCCTACTGACCATAATATAGCCAAATCGGCCACTGAAAGGCTGATGACAGGCGCTCCACACAGCAATATTTCAGGCTCGACGCTCCACGTTATCTATAAAGCATAGGCAATGCGTAACCGACACTGTTTCCATGTGGTTTCTCCCGCCAAAGGCTAGTGAACCTCGCAGCCCACGTCACTTGCTTATTCTGAGCAGAGCACTCCAAGCGGTGTGCACGCCAAACTCTCCCCTTCGTCGTCCATCTCACCGTTAGTTTTGCTGGGACTTGATGTTTAAGAATACGCATGTGCTAACCCATACTCACGCTGGAACCCAACCGTCGCTACGTGCAGTGGGCTCAGAATTCAACAAGACACTTTCTCGCCAAAACCTTCGCCACCATCAAGACATGATGCCAAAACCTTGCACAGAACGTATGATGAGATGTGACACCAGAGTGGCCAAGATGCACTTATGATCAAATTAATTTATATTTCGACGTGGTCTTGGACACGCGATAGGGTCCTTGATAACGAGCGCTAGCATCACGTGGCACCACTATTTCACTGTCCACTCGGCCCTACAGCAATAAAGCGCTGCATACGTATTCCATGATAATTAAGGTGGGGTCGCGTCACAAAGTATCTTTCCTCCGGAAGATACTTTGTGATTGATTGAAGGTCGATGCTGGCCAGCGAGCCACAGAGGCTCATGCCAACGCTTCTTTTCCGTGGCCTTTAAAGTACAGAGTCTCTCTCTAACAATCCACTGCGTATTATCGTATTATCAACTGTATATACTGCAATTAGTGTGCCATTAGGGAATTTTGGGGGTCGTTTTGCTCCTGCGTTCTTGGCATGCTATGGTCCGAATCGGCCTCCAGCACAGCCAGTAGGCTGCGTCGACAGTTCTAGACTCAGGGGACTCCAACAACCTTACGGAGCTCGCTGATCAGTAGAAACTTGCTAATGACTCTTAATAGGCTCTTTTGTTGCATATTATCTTGCGCTCTTTCAAGATCCCAGACAGTGAAGCAACCTGGAGAAGGCTCACTGGCGTCGGCGAATCGCTGAGGCCACCAGCAGGCTGGAAGAGAACACTAATGCCGCCTCCATCCCGGCGCATAATTTGACCGCAATAGTTTTTTAGTTCATTTGTATGGAGGCGACCGTTTAACAGAGGGTAACGCAACCGCGGTAGCGCTGATCCTGCAGGGCCTTTCAGGACGCCGCCTGTGGCGTGATGGCCTGAGATCGATGCCGGGCTCGGGGATCACAGCTTTCTGCTCGACAACTCAGAGAAATTTCTGATAATTTTAGGGAACTTCTGCTTTACTCCTCCGAACTTGAGTTGCCCCTGACGCGGCGCTGCCTACCAAGAAGGGAGCGGTGGTGGTGCCCAGTAGCACTTTCCGGACCAGCGGTGCCATTGTTCTCTTAGGTTCGGCTCGCCTTCTGGCCAGCAACAGGCTTCAGGCTGGTATTGAGGCAAAAACCGTATACTTATGGATGCATTTCCCTTCCAGCTGGCCTGCACTTGGGGCCAAAGCTAGGGTTAGTCCGGAGTGGAGTGCAAACGCACTCGCGATTGCTACGTCTTCGTCTGAGCCAGCTCAGGTTTTTCAGGTAACAAAATCGTACCAGAAACTGGAAATGAAGAGAGGAGTTATGGGCGGACGCCCACCTACTTCTCGATCACTGAGCGTGTCGTCGGACTCCGATGCCGTGGAAGAGCCAGCTGTCTTGGAGGAAGCTCGTAAAGGATCCTCCGCAGCGGGCTCATCATTAAGCTCAAGGGGACGAGGTAGAATCAGCTGGGTCATCTCTAAGAGCTCTCAGTCTTCAAGCTCAGCGGACTCTGACCATGATAGCCCACGCGCACGTCGCGTCTTACTTTCTAGTAGCTCTCGAGGGCTTTGCAGTACCGAGAATGCCAGTGGAAGCAGCCACACCTTTTCTAGTCGCCGGCCCATTCGCGTGTCATTCATGGACGAATGCGCTTCATTGACAAGCACAGGCGGGATACAGTCTCACGGAACTGGAGAAGTTCCTCTGAGTACACAGTCCAAGGAAGTCGCCATACGGCAGAATGGATCTCAGTTCGACCTAAAGACGAGTATTGCCTGCCGAGCAAACGCTATTGCCAATGCCAACAGGAATGTGGCTGCAATGGCTGCCGAGAAGCGAGCAATTGACGAGACGCAGAACCCAGAGCTTGATGCTATAGAGTGCGAGGTCAATGGACTACACCGGCAACTAAATGATGTTAAAGAGTCGCTTCGAAGGCGCTGCTTGAATATTTTAAACTCTCTGGTCGGACGAAAGTGGACAATCGATACTAGCGGTCCGCCGGTGCACCATCTCACAGGGCAGTTCAGAGCAAGTCTTCCGGCATACGTTGCATACGAGGTTTTTCACCGCCCGGCTTTGCAACGCCCTTTGCAACGCCGATCCCTGTGAGTAAAGGACTGATGCAGGCTTGTTGTGTTTGTTCGCAGACACGTTGGCCAAGAGAATGTTACGACCGTCTAAGTGGACAGCCAAAAGCCAGGTTCAACTGGAAGCAGAAGAAGGGCAAAGGGAGTCACAGGACTGGTTCGGGCCATCGGCATATGACGTTTTTGGAGATTGCCTGGTAATCGCAGAGCGGAATCCTTACCGCATCGTTGGTGTTTATGCCCGTAGGTATCGGGACACGCGACTGCGTTTGCCCTACCTGGATGATGTTCTCTGTTCACCGATTTTCCCATGCATCCAGCACAACGAGCCGCAGACTGGCCGGCCGCTAGCGCTGAACGTCCCTCCTGAGCCACCCAAACCGATTAAAGCTTTTCCAGACAGCGGGGCAACATGGCCAGATACTCAAGAGAGCCCAGGAGGAGGTAGGTGTGGTAGGCCACTCGAAGCGACGACGAAGCCAGGAGTGGCGAGTTCGACAGGGGACATATCCACCCATTTCAGGGTATCGCATCTCCGAATCTCGTCCTTGCCAGCACCTTCACGTGCCGCATGTAGCACAGCACCAGTTTCAGTAAGGGATCATACAGACGCATGCTACACGACACGCTGTCTACGGCCGTGTTCGCAATATATTTGTGTTGCTCCTCCTGGAAATTACATGCCAAGCTCTACGCTTGAAAGCTACCCAAAGGCCACAGTGGAGAACAATAACATGCGGATTCCCACTCGTCTTGCCGACTATTTGGAGAGAAATTGCGTGACAATCGAAAGGCCATCCTGGGACAGGCGTTGCAGGCAAAAGCATGAGCTACATCACACCGACTCCAGGCGCTCCCGGTCATCTGCACCGTCTGATGACACGGAGTCAACCTGGGAAGAAGAGGAAGACGATGAACTAAGGGCTTTTGGGTTCAACTCATGTGAAATTCCCAGCGCGCTTGCTGATTCAATCGCCAGTGGGCTGCCCCAGTTTCTTAGAAGAGAAATCGGTAACCGTTGGCTTCCTACGTTGTTCGCCGAGGCTGACGTCCGCATTTCAGAGTACTGGAAACTTGAAAACATGAGGAATAGGGAGAAAGCGGCCTGGGTCTACCAAGGGATACAGACTGAGCCCAAACCTGTAAGAGGAAGTACAGGTTGGCGCAGTTACGAACGAAGGCAGCGGTTACACGGAATTTGAATTAATGGTGCTTCGGTGCAAGTGCTCGACGCGCATGTTTGTGTGTGTTGCGAATTCAGTATCCATGGGAAGAAGTACCACTGGAAGGGAAGCGGCCTTCGCCTAAGGAGATCGCGCAGCAACGCAAAGATGCGAGGTCACGGCGGCATCTCAGCATCGAGGCAGAACGTTTGCTGAGAGGTGTCGGCCAAGGCACTTGTTGCGATGGCGACGCAGAATGCACCACCGTGAACTCTAAAACCGCTCCGCTGCGCGGTCGTTCTCCAGGTGGCGACCATACTATTGCCTAAACTACTTCATTTAGGTGCACAGGGACTCCTCCAGCCACACGGGTTATCAGGCGTGTGCGTTAGACGCCGCTCATATTGATCACAGAACTTGAGGACAGTTCCGGCATACACTTCATTGGTTTCTGTTTCCATTGGGCTGAAGATGTGTAGGCATCCCCATATTTGGAAACATTACACTTTTTAGAAGCTCTTCGTACACGTGGCGGCGGCGCCGTCTCCTGCCCCTGGCGACTATTGAAGTCGTTTGCTTACCCAGGTGATTTGGGAAATCATGTGAATATGTTTTCTCTGGCTGTCACAGTCACATGGTGAAGCGCCATAGGTTTTTGTAGTGACTGGATCGGCGTGGGGCTTCAATATCGTGGCAGCTGGCATGGATGCCTTCACAGCCAAACTCCAGAGACGTTCAGGAAATTTGCCCCGAACCGTTTGGGCCCTCTTCATGCATGCTAAGGCCACAAGAAGCGTTGGGGGAATACGGCAGCATGTCCGCCTGTTTTCTGCGGAATCGATGTGTAGTGCGCATGCGACGTACTTACAAAAAGCAGCGGACACCGCGCTAACACTTAATAACTCAGGGGACAATTGAATAGGGCTATTCAGTCATGTGTATAACTAACGCGACAACTCCTCGTCTATTTACAATGTTTGCACCTGTTTAAGTTCGCCTCTGAAGCCTGCAGCGCTCAAAGAACGCATATGAAAGTCATCTTCCCTGATGCAAAGCCCAGTACGGCGAAATGCACCTATCACACCTCACGCTCGAGACGGACAAAAAAATATACATTGGTACCTTTGCGTCCGACACAACTGGGGGAGGAGCAGAAACGCTATGCGAGCTGCGGTCTCGTCACTCTGACTTCTTTGTCTCCAAGGTTCTTATGCAAGACGAAGCATTTGGCTCTGGCCGAACGCAAAATGTCGCGCCCAGAGCTGCCAACAAGTCTGCCGACGCCGTGAGCATGAAGCACCACGGGTCCAAGCGGGACGCGGCCACCAAGGCAGCAAATGATATCCCCAACATTGGGCCACCTGCAAACAGCAGGCATGCCATGTTCAAAGACGGTACGAATCGCACCACTACCACAAAAAACTTTCATTCTAGCATGCGGAAGCAGATGCGCCTATCTAGGCACTCACCTACAACAGCGCAGAAGGGAAGGCCCGCGACAACCGCAAAAAGGAGGACCGCCAAGTTTAATCTTTGTGCATGCCGCAGTTCAAGATAAAATCCTACTGAAGTGAAGACAGCGCTGACAGAATAAACGATAAAACAACAGAGAAACTCTGCCACAAATGTATCAAATAGCAGGCTGACTGCACGGAAAACCTCGTAGGACGAGCGTGACTGCAAGGTGTTTTGCAGGCCGAACATTAGCGGTACAAGCACCGTAGGGCACGATTCCGCAAGAGAAATTGCTACTGTCCGAAAAGACTCAGCAGCGAGAGTCCTTTGCCTATGGGTCATTGTTGCTTGCATGACATCCGCAAGTATCGAAGCCTCCTTATCCGTTCTCCCCACCATCCGAAACAGCTCCTGCGGGAGGGGCAAAATGTCGCCGAACGGATTTAGCCAGTTGAAAGCTGCGATGAGTAGCCCCACCGTCAACGCGCCTAAGACTCCCGATATGCCACCGAGCAACCATGCGCCTGAATATCCACTCACAAATTCGATGCATGGAGGGCATAAAAAGCATGGGCGGATGACTCACAAAGAAAGCCTCAAGCTTTTTCATAGACATATTGGCTGCTTTAGTCCTACGTTTTTTCGCTGGTGCTAAGGAAGAACCGCAGGATGCCAGAAATCGCTTCTCTTGAACTGCCGCAATGAAGGCGTGGCCTGCGTCCGCCGTGCAGTTGAAGTTAAATAACTCCATCCAGGAGGCATTAGACAAAAAGACACTAAGGGCTGTTATTGCATTCGAGCTCCAGTTGCCAAAAAGCGACGTCCGCCTCAATATAGGTAGCAGCAGTACGGGCGCAAATGCTATGTACGCGTGGAATAAAATACTGACCAAGTAGTTCTGAACGAAATGAGCCGATGGTGGACTAGCACTTCCTTCAGTAGTCACTTCAGCTGAGTTGATGTCGGGGACCACTCTGTATGGGGAATCGCGGGTGGCCACTTCATTTGGAGGAATTGTGACCGGCGGTCGTCGTGGAGCCTTTCGACTCTTGTGAGGCCTTCGTGTGCTCATGGTCTCGTAATTCTGCTCATTCCCCAGATCTCTACCACCTGAAGACGACTGCCTGCAGCTGATCCAGCTCTTTCGCCAAGGATCCCGTCGCATGTGAGACCGGGATAACGAAACAGAGTATCAGGACCGACTGCACGAAAGACAATCATGCGGCGAGCACGCCCCCCTGTCACAGCTCTAAAGCTCTACGTTGCAAGTCTTCACGGTAAAAAGTAGGTCAACAAAAGTAGTTGTCTTGTTGCAGCACAAACTATCAACAGGCACTCCTAAGGCCAGACGAGCCCCAACTTTCCAACTTTCCTCGGTGCCAGCGGTTCCTCCCACTCGCAGGGGGAGTTCACACCATGGGTATTTTTGCAACTGTGGTTCTTCTTCTTGAATTCCTACTTCTCCACCAAAAAGTTTCCACTTTTTCGTAGGGTCATTCCCCAGAAACACATCGGGTGTTAGCTGCCTACGGTACGTGGCTTTCGTCATGCCCTCTTACGCTGTGTACTTCGGGAAATAAGTGTCACCCCGTCCACCCTCAACCACTATCCATGATTCATTACGTAACTAATATAAAACGCCTTTTGGATTGTCCCTGGCAAATGTTGCTGCAGCCAGCGCAGAGTGCCCTGGATAAGCGTCAACCTCGTGGCGCCACACTGTTTCTACTACACTCGAGAAGCGCACTCTTTAATGCCTCGCTTAGAAGCCAATTATACATCAGTTTACGCCAAATTTATGAATTCCCAGCAATGCCCAAGGCGGAACGCGTGTCAACTTCACGTCGCTGTGCGACGACCACAGGGCAAAATCGTTTTCGGGGCCCGGACCTACAGGGGAAGACGTGAAGGCGAAGACTTCTAGCGGATGCATGTTATCAAAGATTGATGTCATAGGTGGCCGAAGGAGAACTGGTAAAAAGGCAGCAACGTTAACACCCTTACAAACGTCCAGCCACCCACCGAAAGCGTCTATCTCCCCAATACTGCACAAAAATGGAGGAGGTTACTGGCGGGCCCGCCTGAATATCTACAGCTCCCTGGAAGCCGCGCCATGCGCATATTTCTGAAACTCATACGTTAGAGGGTCATATGTCGACATGCAGCTCGGCATTAAACGATTCTTTCTGGCAGCTTTGTCCCAGTACAAGTAACTGAAAACGGTGCCTTCTTTCAGCCCGCCTGGCCGATGCCTGCAAATTGCATGATGTGCAGCTGCCTGAAAGCAGGAGGTCAAAGACGTCACTTGGTAGACGCAAGATGTTCCTACTATTCTGGGGACGTAGAGAAGTTCGCTGTTTCATGCCCCACATAACTACCAGCAAAACGATTCCTCAGTAGTGCTAGTGCTTGAAGAACGAGGCGAACACCCGAAAAGCATTGGCACGAGCTCGTAAGATGCGTCGTCTCTATGTAGCTACCCTATTATGGTTATCAAAGTCGGCAACAAATGCCAAATGCATATTCGTTCTACAGCCCGCTCCTGTCCACCAGAAGAGCGAGGTGCACTCGAATAAACCACAACCGAGCAAATTGTTCAGGGTTGCCTGCGAACACCAAGATGTTACCAAGTCATTGCGCGCACATGCCTACCGGCACTCGATGGCACCACAGCTTTAAACCGTGCACGCCAAAATGCATGATGATCCAGCAACTTAGCTTTTGCTGGCTCCATCGAAGACCATGATGCTGTGGACGTTGCCTTCTTTCTGTGCTGCGGCGGACCTGTAAAGAATTAAACATGCATGCACGCACTCAAACTTTGCTAATTCTCCTGGGGGGATAACCTTAATACACTGGCAATCAAATAAATGCAACGCAGCTCAGTGTCGGCCGGCTGCATTGACCAAACATCCTCAAAGCTTGCCGACTGTCACTGTGAAGCCAAACACGGCCACCAACAAACTCAGCACATGAGCCAGCTGCTGTAGGCCCAATGCATTTTCCCTACCGGACGTCAAATCGGACTTCGCCTCTGTACAGCTGCTCGTGAAGCGCTTGAATGCTGGGCACTCCTGCATCCTGAAATCCGTGTTTCACCCCTTGCATGAGATACGGTATGAGATTGCGAATAGAGCCTTTATCAACCAAGCAACCTGTGACACCCTGCGCCACGCGAATCTTCTGACCTTCTGCAAAGTAGCGAGCCGCTGAACCACCAGAAGTGGAGGACGTTGGGGTGGCGCTGCCATCAGTCGGAGGCTGCTGCCCGTTCCCTGATGCCGCGCGCATGGCTTCAATGCTCCCCATGCCACGGTAACTCTTCACTCGAGCTCCGTTGTGAAAGTAGTATGCCCCTGGGGCTTCCTCCGTGGCTGCTAAGAGAGATCCAACCATTACGGTGCTGGCACCTACGGCTAGTGCCTGCAGATAGAAAGGGAACACGGTAGAAGTCCTAGGGGCAATGATGATTTTGCATGCACCTGCACATCGGAGACGAGGCAGGAGCTAGACAATGTGCGCAACTTCTCAGAATGCACTCCCTTGAACAATATCTGGAAAGACCAACATATTTTTCATTACGCTCACTTTCACGACATGGCCTGAGTTCTGTATTCCGCCATCAGCAACGCAAGGGATATTTGCCACTTCCCTTGCGTACTTGCTAACGTGGTATACAGCGGTGGCCTGGGCCCTCCCCACAGCGCAGACAACCTGAGCATGCAACCCAAACAGCAAGGCTAATATCACTATCCACGCTGGGCTAACGTGCTTGTCGAATCTTCCTAGCCGCGTCGGGTAACGGCTTTTGTTACCTGAGTAGTGCAAATTGACCCGCTCCCCATGCCAACTCGCAGCGCGTCAACCCCGGCGTCAATGAGAGACTTGGCTTGTCGTGCCGTAACCACGTTCCCTCCAATGATCTACACGCAGCCCAGATGCCCAATACTCCGCACTCACCGCACTTCTAACCGTGTACGTTCACGGTGTACTGAATTTTATGGGAAGGTAAAGCTTCCGTTGCCGCTGGAAAACTGGAAGCTTCTTGTTGACAGAAGACAGGTGGCTAACCTGCGTGTGTGGGTACGCCGACTTTAGCTGCTTCACGAGATCCACTTGGAATACAGAATCACCTTGGCTGCTGTCGATGACCAAAACGTCAGCTCCGACTTGCAACAACGCCTTCGCCCTTTCAAGTTCTCCTGGTCTGCAGCAATGCCATGTTTTTCAGTTTGCTCAAAGCTGTACATGTGGGTGCTTCAGCAGCAAGGAGTTCTCAAAATGTCTGTACTAACAATATCCGGAGTGAAAGTAGCCGGGTGTGTCGCAAACGTGGTTCTTACCTTGTGGAGAGAGCCGCACCCACTAGCAGCTGCTTGTTAGGATCCTTGGATGCTAACGGGTACTCTCTATTCTTCTTCAAATCGTTCCGAGAAACCAATGCGACCAGCTCGAAGTTCGCATTCACAATGGGCAGTTTTCCCTTCTTCGACTTCCGCATGATCTCATTGGCTTGGGCAAGATCAAGTGGCTCGTGACCCACGATAAGATCAGTTGTCATGACTTCGGATAGCGGGGTGTGCCTGTCTGTAATAAAGTCAATGTCTCTTGACGTGACGATTCCCACCAGTTTCCCTCCAAGGGTTCCCGTTGACGTGATCGGTACAGAGCTATACCCGTATTTCTGAAAAGGTCAGCAAAGCCCAGCATTCTACATCTGCTAACAAGCATGCCGCTCGCACAGACAACCATTCTCACAGAAGTCGCCTACCAGCAAGATCGAATCAGCAGCACTTCGGCGGGAGCTGCAAGCAGCCTAAAACTCAAGTGAAGCACCATGACAATTGATTGAGTCGGCCTGCTGCGCGCAGGGTCCAGCTGCCCACCTTCTTGATGCAGTCAACATCACGAACCGTGTCTGTAGGCTTCAAGACAAATGGCTCGGTTATGAATCCATTCTCGAAGCGCTTGGTCTTCCGTACTTGCTGTACTTGCTGCTCTATTTCCATATTGTTGTGAATGATACCGATTCCCCTACAACGAACCACATGCTGCAAAATTCCATTAATGCTACATTCAAATAGTCTCGTTGGCGCATTTAAGAACGCACTACAAGGAGTTCGTCAAGTCGAACCATCCACTTGCTGAACAAAACCCGGGACCTCCAGGCTCCGAAGCTCACCCCATAAGCGCCACGCCAATAGCCATTCTGTGCTCGGTGACCGTGTCCATAGGGGAGGAGACCAGTGGAAGGCGCAGGGTAATGCCTCTTGTTAACCTCGTAGTCAGATCGACGGCATCCACGCCGAACCCAATGTGCCCTACAAGCCCGTCATCAATGTACGCACACAACAACGTAGCAGAGCAAAATGGAGAGTAATCCTCTAGAAGCTTAAGGATTTCTATCTCCGGAGAAATACTCCACTCCTGCCTCACCCGGCATTAGTATGAGGTCGTCATACGTGAAGCCATATACTGTCGAGTTAAACACCTTCTCTGCATCCCACCCGTCCGCCATTTTCCCCACCGTACTCACACAGGCCTACAGCAGTCCACACATGTCCCTCAATGGAGTAAAGAAGGCGCTATCAGAAGAAGGCGCTATCTCGCTTATGAGTTGAGTCACTCAAACACTCATACGGTGTCATTGAGCATTCAGCATGATGACCAATTAACGATCGTCGACTTAATCTCTGCATGCCTCAAATAACTAAGACCAGGAGACCAGCAACATGGTCATGCTTCTTCCCCAGCACAGGCACTGCAAAGTAAGGAGACTAACCGCTATCCGAGACGCTCCTGCCTTGGAACACAAGCGAAGTCGATGAAATAGGTGGATACAGCCTCACTTGATGTACTGCTTCAGAATGGGAAAAGTTATGGTTAGCATATGATGGATCTGAGTAGCTGACGCACAACGGAGGGAGTACAACACTCTCACCCTACTTCAAGCCAGATTCTTCAGCCGAATTGATCGCTATTACTCACTATAAGGGATAAGTTGCAGAAGGTGGGGAAGAAATCTGCTGCCTTGTGGTCGGCGCCCAGGCCCCACAGACAATCAAAGGACCAGTGCGCTGGCAGGCACGACAGTAGCTCTGGATCTCGGAGAATAAGCCACAAGTAATAAGGCAAGAATATTATGACAAAAATGTGATAAGGTACTTAAGTATGTATTGACCTGTGCACGCTCCACCACCGTGAGAGTCTCGTTCTTCCAAGGCGCAGGTGCAGTGCGCACGCAGAATGGTACTCAAATTGGACCTATAGAAATCTATCCGGCAGACAGAGCACGAATAATATATTATTAAAAGTAAACGAAAAGGCATTAGAGTGGAGGTAACGCTATTAGGCCAAGAGTTCTCTCATGCTGAGCAGGATCTGGGGCTGGTTATAAGACTGGCACTGTAGCCGAAGCGCTGACCCGCAGGGGGTCAACATGGGGATCATTGTCGTTATTACACTTCCTCCTATAGGAGGATTGGACCGGGGATGCGAATGAGAGACTGCTCCTTGGTATTTTGAGGTATTTTAATCTGCTGAGTGTAGCGCGCACATATCGAGTGTGCACCTAAGTAGGTATTAGGCGTGGGACACTGCTACGCAGCTGCAATAGTGCCCTCTGAGCTGAAGACAGCATTTACTTCAGCGGATAGCATATCAGCATCTACCGTCTGGACATCACGGGGCATCGGTTAGTGCTTGACAGACGGAAGGTTTATTGCAGTTCGACGTGTTCAAACCAGTGCATGCAGATGACATTTCGTCTTTGCGTACTCGCATTTGGCGTCCAGCGGATTGCTGGCCCGTGGATAGGTCTTTGTTACTCACTGAAACAAAGAACTCTTTCTCTCAATTGCGTTTTCTTGCTGTACCTCCGGTGTTAACTGGTCGAACCCCCCAGAACTGCGGACTTCGCAAGCACACCACGACAGGCAACATGCACTTTGCCGTCCTTTCCTGCGTCGCCTCCGCAGTGTATATGGGGCTTCTTTTTCTTTTTTTCCTTAGGAGACTGATTCCCCTCCACTTACAGTAGTGAATGAAAATGGCTTTGGGAGCGCTGAGGGGCGCACTGAGAGGCACAGTCTCATTGCTTCCGGAGCAAACACCCCACGCAGTCCTCACGCACACACAGCACCGAATTTCCCACCCTGCGCGTGGGGCTTTATCGTCGCGAACTAGTCTAAGCTTGAAGTTCCATATACCGTCAACCATGGCAATCATTCTTTCCTCCTTCTAGCGTGCAATTCGTTCAATCCGTTGGGGAAAGCTCAGACCTTAGGCACAGCGTTCAGTTAGTGCTACGGAGACATTCCCTTACTTTGAGGCAGAGACGTCTGCTTTCATCGTTCATGTTCAGCTTGATCAACTTCTATTTGTATAAACAAGTAGAGTAGTATGCAGAGGGAAGGTCAGGCGAAAGCGTTTGGGGCGAGACGGTGGCAAAGTCTTCCTGTCTTCGCCGCGCTGCGCTTGGTCACGAGCTTTCAAACGGAAGAAACCCAATAATATGACCGATACCTGAGTTGAGCTCGCATTATCTGTATTTCTGCCGATTCGTACTTCCTTCTGTCGTTGGCGAAGCGTAGTCGCAGAGCCTGCGAATGCAAATAGGCTCTGAGGTTGCGCCACCTTTCCGTAGCAGATGCACTGGCATATGAGAGCGTTGCCCACTACAATTGGGGGCTGTTCTGGGCAGTATTTTGGCCCTAGGGGGGAAGCAATGAACAGTATGACTTGATTCCCGCTTCTCCGTACCTCGCAGGGGAACTGCTCCCAGCTATGATGGACGTTCAGAAAAGGGAATGCTGGAGCACTGCTGAGCAGGGATAGCCCTCATGACCTTCCCCGCGACGCGACACGAAGACGGGAGGGATGCTACGAAAGAAGTGTGTATAGCGTGGGAGCTACTGTCATACATAGATGTGGCCTGGAGCACCTGTGAAGCGCTATTAGGCTCAGGAGCGTCTCTAACTTTCATTTGTCCCGTGACAGTGAAACGACTACAGTTAAAGGCGCGGCAGCTCTGCAGAGAGTGCATAGACACAGCTGCGTGTTGACAACCCCGTGTCAGGCTTGACGGTGTGGTGTGGAAATGAGCGTTTCTCGGGGGATTTCTTCGAGGCCCCATTTCATATGATCCGATGTTGATGCTTGACTGGCTAGCTCATCATAAAGCTGGAATGTGTTCTATTGGTTCTATTGGTACTGTATCTATGTTATATTCCTCAATTTTCTTAAAAAAGAGTTGACCGTGAAATCCATACAAAGATAAAACGGGAAATATATATAACAATCATCATTGTTACAGCAGAGAAGTACTACTAAACCTACAGTCATCATATGATGTGCCAAACAGTCGGCGCCTAAAACTAGATATAATATGTAATTGTTGGTTAGAAGGTTAAATTTCCTCCATCATAATATAAAATCTAAAGCAGATACAGGAAATAAAAGGCTACATACTGGATCTTATGCTAAAAGTCGACGGCAGTTGGTGCGAGATTCCTGTGGCACGAGCAAATGAAGGAGACGATGTAGAGGGACGGCCGGCAGAGGCGCGACGAAGAGCCCGAGCTGCGCAGGCTTATGACCTAACAAGTGGCGGGTATGACACCAGCGGAGGCCGCAACACTCCTACGCCCCCGTGCAGAGACCCCCCCTCCCGCTACCCACGGCTAAGGCAAAGGCGCTGGTTAAGGAGTTTGATTAAGCAGTTGATACATGCTACTGCAAACTCGGAAAGCATTGGCCCACTACACGGGCTAAATCTCATCCTGACATTACCAACATTCAGCGAGCTCTGGGTATTATGGCTCATAGACGGACGCCAAAAGCCGTTGTGTTGTGCAATCATCGGACACCACTCACCATACAGAGGAGCCGCAAGTGTAGAAGCACCTACAGTCAAGGCGAAGGCTGAGTTCGACGGATCAGCATGTAAAACTCGTATACACACAGTTCAACGCGTTGCTAGGGTCGACAGAGTCACGCCGTATTCATAACGAGATACTCGAGCTGTGGAGTGAAAATCGAACTGTCTTCCCTCACGCCCTACGTGAAGGGTTACCGCCGAAGTCCCCACACGAGCATCATATTCTGCTGGTGCCCGGTACACCACATGAGATGCGTCTTATCTACCGTTGAACCCAGAACAGCTTAATTTCAATGGGTAGGTGATAGCTAAACGGCCAGCTAATTGATGGATAGGACCCACGTAATACCTTTTCTACGCCCCATGAGCATGGCAGGGAAACACGACGGCGAATCAGGCGATCGGAGGATGCGCATGGTCGTTAGTTGTCAAGCTCTTCTTCTGGTTGCTCCTGATATTCCCCCGTCTCCCATCCAAACTATACTACGATGGAGCATTCTTCGCAGCAGCCGATGCTAGCGAAATAGTGTTTTGTGCGCTGTTCTCCCAGCAGGCTGACGACCTCAAAAGACCAAATTATATCGTTTCCATCACATTGTTTCACAGACAGAAAGTAAAAGAATCCGGCACGTGCGCCTAAGCGGCCTGGTGAGGTGTCAATCCCGGCGCGAAACCATCCGATTCTACCCCGCATAGCAGCAAGCAGGGCACCTCCTGCATACCGCAGGCAATTTACTCGACTCCAACCCAACCAGAGAAGTGAATCTCCAGAACAAAATGCAACTTGCTCAGAGGGCTCTCCCACTCGTTCTGTCCTCGCCTAGCATATGTGCTGCTGCCCGCGAAACAGTTGCGCTACACTTTTTGTTCCTTAATGCCCGTTCAGGACTGGCAAACAACCTACGGGAAAATATCGAAGCTTAGCATTACTTTAACTAATTCCACCTACAAAACGGGGTAGGCCGCCACCTGAATGCGCAATACAATAGAGTTCCTGCGGAACCGACGCAACTCAGTCAACCATTTTTGGCCAGGTTCTACTTGGAAGGTTTCACGAGAACCCTTCGTGAGGTCTGGTAGGCCCTATCCGGGCGTCACCATATGCCTGCCTTCTTTGCTTATACGACCAAAACGGCCGCATAAATCTAAATTACTACATTTCGTTCTACACCAGCATACTAGCCCCGGCCGTCAAGGCTTCGGTCTTGAAAGAATCTCAGAACGCTTACGCGGCTCAGAGCGATGAAATGGAGGCGTGTCTTCACCGTAAATACTTTGTTGTTGTTCGCTTGCCGCATTTCCACCGTGTCACACTCCAACTCTTAATACGCCAGCGCAAAGCGCACACAGCTTACTTGTATACTCAGTATTTACAGATGATTGCTTGCTTCGCGCAGAATTGCCACATAAGCGTCTCCAATACATTACAGTTTGCAACAGAATTCCCTGGAAGCATAACACCAGCGTGCCCCTTTAGTTTTGCATTTTAGGAATGACACACTTTGTTCAACTTGAAACCATAATTATCGATATCGCTTCCTTCGGTTCCTGTAAGAATGCATACCGAGATCTCTTTAACCTTCAAGCCTCCTCACACGGGTTAGTCAAAGTCTATGCGACACAAGCGCTCAACTAATTAGCGCTCGTGCGCATATCTCGCGCACAAGACCCACTGGCACTATCTGACGATATTATACTGCAATGCCTGGTCCCGGCATCCTGCACAGTGGAGTTCTTAACTGACCATACTTCAAATAGTCGTTCTCTTCTGTCTTCAATCAGTGTAACCAGGGCCTAGACGCTCTCAGTCAAAACAGGTGGCACACCAAGTGCAAATCGAACGAATGTGAGCTCCTTCAGTAGCCTCTGTAGGCATTTGGTGCAGGGTGAAGAAAACAGAAATTCGTCCATCTTGTCATCCTAGTATCGCCATAAACGGTGAGGGAGCTAGCTACAGTAGATCAGGGAAAAGAGCTTTCTTGGGGCTGGTCAATAAGCAGCTTCAAAACACAGTATAAAGAATTTTTGTATCATATAATTGCCTCAAAGGTACATTGAGCACTTCAGTCCAATGCAGTTGGTAGGGCTGCGTAGGAACAATTTCCTTACACACATCCGAGTCTCCACAGGGATCAGAAAAAATATCAGAAAAAGAGCAGGAAGTTCATATTAAGTGTTGAGAGAGTCTGCTGGCTGGACGGTATATATTTTCCACACAGGTACATTAATGAACCCTGAAATTTGACTGAAATACGGGTTGCTAAATGGAATTGCATAGCTTCCCCAGCAGGCCGCGAGATCGCTACAGCTGCAGTTGCCGTGATCCCAGATATGTTTTTAAAGATCGGGCCACCCAACGCGAAATCGCCTGCAAAGGCAACCCTTCACATGGTTTCAAATGGATTGTAGCTTGGTACCAACGATGCATTGACTGGAAACCCAAAGCGAATGGACTCTGTCAGCCACGCAGCCAACAGTAGTTGGGAAGGAAGAAACGCACCTTGTCGAGGGCAAGCCTCAAAAAGGTTGCTAGTAGCTTTCTTGTCCTTGACGATAATGCCAAGTACGCTGCTGGCACTGTGGACGGATTTTGCTGCTGAATGCATCGGAGAAGAGGCAGCTGCTCATCCCCTCCAGCAGCGAAGAGGCTAGCAAAGATGGGAAATGTTAACCTGCAGATAACGTTGTTTTATTTCTGGCACACGCGTTTCCGTCTTTCAGAAGCTTTTTGTTCAGCAAATGGGCTATGCAATGTGTTGCTAGCGTTGCTCACCCAATAGGATGGGGAGGGCAGTAATACCAGATGAAGCACTGAGCTTCTTGGCCAGAACAACGGATGCCGAGTCGGCTGAAGCCATCTTGTACCCGGCGTGCCTCGGAGATGCCAGCGCCTTCTGGATCAAACACTCTCCACACGTCTACTAAAGCAAAGTCCGGTCTGAAGCACAAAATGCCATCGGCAGTGTCAGTGGAAAATGCCGTTCTGCAAACAAACTTTCCATCATCCTGTAACAATGGACTCGTGCAATCCGTAGCAACGGTGGGCTATGTCCACAACCGCTTTGTCGATGTCATGACACATCTTGCTGGTATAGATCTTCCTGTTCTCGCTTGCCCCTTTGAAATACGCTCTTGCGTGGAGAAGTGAGTCTAGAGAGAGTTTCCTAGAGGGTTAATTGCCACCCAATTCACTGTGAGCCGGAGCCTACCTAGAGTTGTATTGTACGAATACTAGATATATATAGTGATAGTCAGTTCTGGACAGACCTTGTATTCAATTCTTTTAGCGTAGCCAGTAGTTGCTTTTCTTTCAACCCCTGAGCCTCCGAAGACCAAGACTGAAGCCATTGCATCCTCTGCTCGCAGGCTTCTGGAACCGGATTCGGTAGGGCCGGCTGGTCCCAGAGTTGGAAGGTAGCATTTACCGGCCCAGAATAGGAACGCTTGAGCCTGCTTGGTCCACGTTTCTTCCCACGACTGCCCGATAAAAACACTGGAGTAGCCGTTCCAGTGGCAGAAGTTTCAGAGCTCCACCTAGTTCTGTCGTGCTGCTGCAGCATATCCATTTCAGCTTGCGCGGCGCTCCCTTTATCCTGAGGTGCCTCAGGTTGAGGCAAGTGAACAATCTGTCCATTTGCTCTTCGATCACACAGGGTTTTCTGGTTAGTGGGAGTTGGAATCTGCTGCCTGTAGGTATGCAATTGCTCCTTCACCTTTTGCTGAAGCCGCTGCTGAACCTCGGTTCTGAGCTGCTGCAGAATTTTGCCGGAGAGATGTTGTTGAAGTTCGTTTGTGCTGTGCTGCTTCGTGTGCGGGCAATGAGCGGACCGTCCCGGACTCGGGGATCGCTTGCGTGCTGTGGATGCTGTGTTAGGCAAAGCTGGAACAGAGGCAACGGCACCTTTTGGGAAGATCATCGATGCGCAGTGGAGGCAAGACCCTGTGTGGAGTTGAGGTGGCGTTGCCGTACTTATATCGGCAATTGCGTGAGGTGTAGTTCGTGGGGATGCTGTTGCCAGCTGCCCACCACTGTTGCAGCCCGACACCCGCACGTCGTAAAGCAAATGATTCGTCTTTTCAACGCAGTGATTGCCCATGCGTTGCGTCCCCTGGGAAGTCTCCAAAGCATTTAACGACGAGGCATGTTCAGGGGCACTTGCAGGGGTAAGAGGACGAAGTGTTCCAGTTTGTGTTTGGTCACTCTTTTTGGGCCGAGATGTGTACGAAGGCGAAAACACGCTTGGCTTAGCGGAATAAGCACGGCCTTTCGTCGTGCAGGTGCATATTTTGTCGATTGCTCCTAGGGTGCAGTAATGTAGGCTTTCTGGTGCATCACCAGGTGCTTCCACATTGAGTGAGAGTTGGCGTCTCATTCGCTGTGGAGAGCTAGCAACGCCAGCAAGAGATGTGAACGGCAGTGAGCAACAAGGCGGACAATACTCTGAAGGCAGAGACCTGCAGAGGTGGCACAGTTGTTCCTCCTCGATTGCATGCTCGGTCCCAATAACCTCCCTGCGAACATTTGGATTCCGACGGGCACAGTACGAATGTTCGTTGCAGGAGCAGGGCTGGAGGTGTGACTGCCTGTGATCTTTTACTTTGAAGGCTCCACGGGGTTCGGAGAAGGAGATATTTGCTGCTGCAGTGGCAGCTGTTCTATTGCAGGCTCCCCCTTTAAACTTTGGGAGAAGACAAACCGAGCACACGCGCCTTGACCCAGTGCCCGCCGAAAGCACACGAAGATGTTCGCGGGGGCGGTTGCCCACTGCAAAATTCTGTGGCAGTAAATATGTGGGCATGTATCCACCCTTTGACGAGTCACTTATGCCTTGACCAGTCGGCTGTAACGATTCATTTTTTGATCTGGGGCTAGAATGAGAAGAAGGCGAATAATTCTGCAGACGAATGCAGTATTCGTTTTTTCGCGAGAAAGAAGGAAGAGGGCCTAGTAGTCCCGCTTGAGCAACTAACCTGAAACCGGAGGAAACTCTACACACATGGCAGTGAGACGAGTCTGCATGCACCCTACGATGCTGCTGGTGAGCATTTCGGGATGTGGGAGCTCACCCGGTGGTGGTAATATGTTGATTGCACTTGCACGCCACCTCAGTGTGGAGAAACTCAACTGCCCAGTCAGCTGGAGTGAGCGATCCATTGCTTCTCCTGTACGCATGCACGAATAGTGAAGATAGTCACAACATATATACTCTTGGTTTTGTACCTGAAAAATGTTAACGAACTTTTTTTTCACGTTTTGTTTGGCCTCCCAGCGTTGCCGCTTCAAAGCCCAACGAAAGGCAAACATCCCACCGGTCTAATCTGTTGAAGGCTCTGGATACGGCGGAGAACGAAGGCTGCTGAAGGATTGCCATTGCTCTGGCTAGATCAGCTGCATTACGCCCAGATGCAGATTGATACACTTCTTCCAATGAAAAATACCGGCGCAGCTGTAGGCGTTGGTCGTTTTTACTGCAACTATATTTTCAATTGCTAGCAGGGCTACTCTATCTCCCAGCTATTTGCATATGCATGTATTTAACCTCACTCATTGGAGCCTTACACACGCTGTAAAACAGCAGTCTAGCTTGCCTTCCGTCACAGTCCCTTTCTTGGAAGTGTCAATGCAACTGTACAGGGTGCAAGGCACACACTGGCCCCTACACCTGTCACGAGCTGCGGTTGCAGCAGCTGCGACGTCTGCTGCTGCTTCAACCTCCAGAAGGCCCATGTATGCCACCAGTTCCTCCGGCTCTTTTTGGGATACAGTTAATGCGGTACGCTCCAGATTTGAGGCCTCTACATGGGAAGGCTCACATAGGCTAACACATATGCTTGGCCGTGTCCACCGCAAAAAACTGCGAAGACAAAGCAGTGGTCGAGGAAGTGGCATCCGTATATAGTAGTTTTGGCCAGACGCTTCACAGGGATATTGATGCTTATTCAGGCAGGCGACTTCAAGGGTTGCTCTTTTTTGGAAGTCTTTATGTAAATAGGCTGGTTGGGAGGTTCGTCTGACTCAGCCAAAGAAACGCCATCATCTTTGGAAGAAACCCTGGCTGCTAAAATACGGCCATCAAGACCATCAGCTCGGACGCCACGAAGCCGGAGGAACTTCACCCACGCGCTCGCTGAGTTATTAGGCGCAAAACTGTCCAAACTGTGGTCATCTTCGAAGGGCTTAGTAACACGGATGGGTGCCACTCACAAGAGATCCCATGCAGCCAACTAAGCATAGAGGTATCAAAAGCCCAATAGCGTGCAATCAGCACTGATACTGTACGGGTGCACGTCACAGTAAAGGCGACGCTGACCAGACGAAGCGGGGGAGGCTAGCGTCTCGCCCTCCCAAATGTGAAGGTTTGCATTACCATACAAGCGAACACTCCCATTATCTCGAACAGCGGCGTACAGATGAGCTGGGGAGTAGGGATGAGAGTGCCGCAGCGCCACACGCATGCGGTCCAACTGCGCTCACAAACAGCAATTACGTGCATCTAGGCTCTGCTCAGCGTAGTCACACCGTCGTACAGCACTACAATACTCTGAGGGAAACCAATGGGGTTCGAACTTCTTTTACTTGTTGCTCAACGCAGGCTAGACGCCACAAGATAGATGCAGCCGCCCTGCTTGGATCTGACTCTCCAGTCATTTTCCACCAGAAAGACGAACTGGGTCAAAATCACGATATGCAAGTCTTCTAAAGACTAACTGTAACAATGAAATCAGAAATGGGCACGGACTTAGTCGTCACAAAGAGTATGTGCTCCAACATGGTGGGTCAGCATCATGGGAAGTCTCTACCCTCAACTTCTTCTCAAGTCAGTCTTCAATCAGTGTCCTCAATGTTCCCCGTGAGGTCTTGGTGTGTACGCTGCGCCTTATCGGGTCTTCCCGATTGTCCATTCATTGTGATGCTTCGCTTGAATTCTTTACCTTGTGGACTCCTCCCAGCTGATTTATTAGCAAGCACGCCAAAACCCCATGTAGGAAAAACTCCGTAGCCGCTAGCTCTCAGTGGAAGTAACACGCACGAAAAATCTAGCCTGTCTTCTAACAACATTGAAGCTGCTTCTATACTCTGGGAATTTGACTAGAAGTTACCGAAGACTAAGTTACTCTACAGGTGGTGCTTCATTCTAGTTTCGCCGCATCCGCCTCCGTACAGGGGCTGCAACTACAGAGCACCACTACTGAGTGTATATTGGCTTCCAGCTTGCATGAACAATGCGACGCCCCCTTCTAGAAGTATATGCGCTAAAACAGAGGCCAGTTGTACTCCCATTCCGGGCAGAAAGGGAAGCCAACAGTTCGCTGGAGCATCCTTGGTAGAAGCGCGTCTCGCAGAGCAGACAAAGCATAATTCATTATAATCCATGTACAGCAAAAGGTTTGAAAGGCATCTAGAGCGTATCGACCGATCATTCCGTCACCGTCTCAGCGGATCGCTCGTGCTCTGCATGAGCGGACAACGGGGCTGCACGGCAGATGCATGCATGCGCACGAACCAGTGGGTTGGCTTGCGCATCTTTGCGCAGAGGGTTACGATGAAAAAGAGAAGCCGATAAGTAGTCCATTTTTTGAAATTCGGGGAGCCGCCCTTAATGAGTACGACATCCTGGCTAATCGCGCTTCACCTGACGGTCTTGCTACGTTGCGGAACGGGGGTGTCGAAGCCAAAGCGCTCAACATTTTCAAAATACCTCAGTAATATTTCGCTTTAATATATCTGCACCAAGAGTCAGCAACAGGAATAGCAACATACTGCGTGTCCAGTGCGCTTGCTGAGGAAGTCACTTGAGTTGATTACCGTGATACCAAAGATCCACATAGACGGAGAAGTAACACAAGGCTTGTGGAGCACGAACAAATATATGCTGTTTACATTTCCCTCTGCTTATTACCAATGGGTGGGAACTGCTTAATCATGCGAGCATCCGCAGTGGAGTTGCCGCAAATGGCGCATTTTCTGGCGTTTTGAGGGTATTCTTACTTTCCTAAGGCCGCATTTCCCCTTTCCCTTTAGAAATTCGGCTTGCTCCGTGTTAATTTAGCACGCTTTCTTGCTTTTCCCCTTTGAACTACTGTGGGCGCTCGGGACTCCCTTGAGCAAGCCTTGGGACTGTTGGCGAAAATACCGGTATCGCTGTAGGATTATGCTTGTATGCATTCTGACGTCCAGACAGTGCCTTATGGGCTGGCAGCTGAAGAGGGTGAACTTTGTAGAGCTGGGTGGACTTATTTTGCTAGAGCAGAAATAGCCAGTCTACCGCCATCGTACAGGCTATGTTGCGGATGCGCTGGGGTGGAGAGAACTAGAAGAAAGGAACCCTAGCCAGGGCAGCGCACCACTACATCTGCTTCGAATATTGGTGAAACTATGCTACCAGTGCTCTGACTGCGTCCAGGTGAGCAACTTTGGGTTTTGAATCTTTTGGAAAAATTGTGGACGGAATGGAGCTGGATGGGTTCAAAGTCTCACTCGCAGAAAGGGCCGGGACGCGGTAGCAGATATTTATTTGCAGAGTTTCAGGAATGCAAAAACAGACCCGGTTAACCGTACACATGTAAACGAGTAAATGACATGAAGGGAACCTGGTTATGGAATAATCTTGCAAGGTCGGCCAACAAATCCTTATAGTCAAGTGAAACACCTGTGCCAGCCCTATCTATACATCGAACACTGCACGCAAGGCTCCTTTTGGGATCAGGAGCCTTAGGCAGCGTTTGGGACTATGTAGAGTTCCACAAAGGTTACCTCCTCGATACTTATTTGTTCGGTGCACTGCACTGTAGAGAATGCCTAAATTGTCGCGACCAGGAGCACCTAAGACAGTAACCAGGTGTGGCTACGCCAATAGCGTGCACGCCGAAATGGGTGCCAGATTGGTTCTTAAAACTATGGGGGTAAGGTGTGCCGAATATTTCCGCAGTCTTTGTTAAACACACCTCATAACGTTGCTCGTGTGCCGTATTGCCTGCTGATGCTTTGAGCGGCCTAGGCTACTTGACATCCCTAGCTTGGTGCCCTAGCCTAGGGCACCCAGATAGCTTGTGCAAAGTACAGAGCTTCTCGTAGCTGGCTGCAACTGGTTCCTCTCAGCATTGCTTGGTGGCAACCTGGTAAGGGCCCCTCGAGGCCCTAGGAAACCAGTCTCTCTGTTTTTGCTCTGCCTGTTTTGGACTGGTACTTACTGTAGTGAACCGTCAGTACGTACGCAGCTTCAACAGCAAGCCTTGCAGTTCTGCTGTGTTCATTGCATACCCCCCAGCAGCATGGCCTGTTCGACGTCGTACACGTACTTCTGCTTGCAAGCAGGCTGCACACTATAGGCCAAGTGAGCGCCATACAATTGTCTACAGTGTTAGCACATGCGGAAAAAGAAGCTTGGCTGTACTTGCATGTAGGTTTGCCTGGCAACACCAGTTGCAGCGAGATGCGCTGCAGCTCGTTTCAGGCAGTCTCCTATCCCGCAGCCGCAGGTCGTTGGGCTTCCGTGCCAAAAACACCTTACGAGGTGAGAGAGTTCGCTAGCTTTTGGAAATTTCTTCTATCAAGTATTTCTGAAGAAAGTTAGTTCGCTTCTGGAACCTTTTTCTGTCAAGTATTCTATTGCCGCTCAAGGACTCTCTGTACAGCTCGGGACTGAAGGGGAGAGAAACTTTAAGAGAAATCTTCCTACCACGTTGAGCTCTAGCGCCTTTTTGGGTACTAAACCGTGCAATGCAGGCTTTAGGAGAGTTAGCATTTGCTTGCAAATTGCTGCTGGGAGACACGGGTTGCTTGCCAAGCCGAGATAGTCTGCAGTGGACTTCAGGAGGTGCCCCAACTTGGGGACTTGCCAGAGAAAACAGGCAAGATGCCAGTCGGGTTTGAAGAAGTACCTGGTTACGAAAAGGAGTTTCTATAGTTATACTCACCAAAAGCAACGGCAGGACGGCAAGGGCTGTGGGTCCGATGGTCAGCCACATTGCTTCTCGTCCCCATTTCTATGTATAACCATCCAGCCCGCTTTGCTTGAGCTCAACATATTGTGACTAGCCTCTCGATACACGTCGGAAGATGCATCTAAAGGGGAAGTATTGACATTGGTGCGCGTACCCACGTTGCAAGCGTTGCTTTTCCTCCACTTTCAAAACGTTTCCAGCTGAGCCCCTCACCCCCTGGCGTGGCCAGTTTTGGCTAATAAGCCGCTTACCGTGAACAGCAATTCTTAAACGATATGTCGTTTGGAACATGAGTAGCTAAGGGAGCTTGCAAGATTATACTTTGCTGAGCCACTATGGGCCATGAACACCACTGAGTTCACTCGTGTAAGGATTGCGACTAATAGCCTGCAACTCCTTGCAAATGGCAATAGAAATAAGTTTCTGGAATTTATAACACCCCCCTTTGCCAAATGACTCGCTCATCGGACATCGTAAAAGGTGTTGGTTCACTTTGCCAGTAGGACGGTGGCCATGGATCTCGATGTCCGCCAAGAAATGTATAACCTTCCGAATGAAATAGCCCTGAAAATTGACGGCAGTGCAGAGGATTACCGATAGCAGGACATTAACGCAAGGTTTAGCCCTTGACCTTTTGCTGTAATGAATAGGAAGAGGTGGGGATGACAGAAAAGCATTCGTTGTGAACCTGTTGAGAACGGTTTCGAGTGTAGATCGTGGTGGCGCTAGCAAACATTTAAGCTCTACAAACTGAGGTGGGTAAGGGTTCCATGGAAATAGCAACTGGACATAAGTTGGTCCTTCCCTAACAGACAGCTTAACGGCGGGAATTACGGGGTTTTGTTGCCCTCGTATTTCGAGATAAGGAATCAGGAAATTGTCCTACACCAGGACGCGGATACTCTACGGAAACGCAAATGAACTCCCCCACAAGGGGAGCTGCCATGGGAAGCGTTGCATTACCTTCCTAACAGCCACTCTTCAAACATATCCTGCAGTCAGATTATGGGGAGATAAGGTTAACTGGCTGATAGGGCTTCCTGGCACCCGAGGAATCCTGCGCTATTGCCAACCCCATAGCAAAGATGGGCGAAAGTTATCGGCATCCCTGGCATTACGATTAAGCTCTTCAGAGGACAACATTAGGGCTTCCTTTTAATTGCCAGTGAGAATGAGAAGCTCTAAAGCGATATACTGTTTTCCGTCGTTCCCCCAAGGTTCTCGAGTTGCTTTTCATCTATAGGCTTCACCTACAGCGGATATGAAATTCTCTCCTGTTTGGCCAAAATAACGGCACTACCGTATCATTACTACCGTGAATGGTTCCCTCGACCCGACGGGAGAGCCTCACTGGCCTTAGCCTCATTCAAGGACCCTGTTGAGCTGCCACGGGGTGGAGGCACTTATTTGAAACCCTGCAAAACACTGCAGTACCCCAGGCCTAGGTATCAAAGAAACAGAATACCGGGTGTTGTGTGGAGAGGTGGCGGACCTTTCCTTATTTGTAGCACCCTCTACTGAAATCCTCGCATGGACAATACCAAAAGCAGGCACCTCATGCAAGGACGAATACTGTGTTTACTTGGTAAACCCCCACTGAGTTTCCAGTATACAGCATCCACCTATATATGGACGTGTGCACTTGCTTGTGTCGTTTATCCATAAGCAGCATTGCTCTGGATTCCACGTGGGCCGAACTTCCGAGCGACCCCAACCGAGGTTAAGTTCATTTGGGCTCAAGCATGAAGACTACTCGCCAAACGTGTCTTGTCCAGCCTATGCCAGCAGCATTGCCAAATGGTAAGGGCGGATCCTTTGTAACGCCGCTGTTCTCGTGCGAACGCCAAACGTAGGGCAACGACGAAGCCTGGAAACACGCTAGCCCGAAAAGCTTTTGGATAGACCGTATGTAGGGCAAGTGGGCTCTTACAATGCTTACTTCAATGCAAAGGTGCATCTATTTCCTCCGCAACATCTCCGTTTTGTTTACTGGCGGGACGAAGTGCAGAGGCCCTATGCCGGGGAGCGCCGAAAGCTGCAGAAGGCAGTTAGTTGGCCACGCAAGGTCCTGTGTAGTCCGAACACAACGCATGAATATGGCTACACATAAATACACGCATGCATGAAAGCCAATCTGACTGACGAAAAGTGAAAGAATTTACTGCGAAGGTGCTTCTCGAAGCGCTGTGTACCAGTGGCTCCCCCACATAAACCACCAGATCGATGCGGTACATAGGCGCATTCGTTGCAATGCAAAAGCTAAAAGCTCCCATCAAGCTGAACCAAAAATAGCTTCTTCGAACATTGTTATTATTTGCATTGTAGGTCATCAACTGATCAGGAAGCTGGGGCTCCTACACGCTCCTTATGGCCCAGCCAAGACGCTCACGGGCACCGGTTGGACTGCTCGTGGAGAGCTCGCAACTTATTCGCTGCTTCATTTAATGTCTTTTTAATGTTAGTGTGTTTTTCAAGTTTTGCCTTATGCTTGTTTGATGACCACTTGAGACCTGCGGCCGATCCAACACTCCTGGCCTGCGCCTCCGCCATCGGGGCGGGCTCTGGCGTTCCCGTGGCACTAGCTGTTCCGCATGCTTTTGGGCATCCCCTTGATTCGTAAGTCGATGCAGAGAACTTTAACAGGGTTATCTTGCTTTTTGTATATCTCTGCATCCAATTGAGTGTGCCGCTTCATCTCCACGGAGGTTTTGTTGCCTCGGCTGTTATCCGTGACCTAAGCCGTTTTGGATCTAGTGGCGGCAGGCATCTGGATCCTAACGCTGCAGTGCAGGTTCTCTGTTGCTTTTAATTGCAATTTTCTCATTTGCGTCCGTTTCAGCCCTCCACTGTTCACGCGCGGGACTTGAGGGTAGTGGACTGACGACAGATCAATGCACTGACGTTTAGGCAACGGGGAGCAGTAGGGTAAGCTGATTAGGCCCTCCTTCTTTCCGTTGTGGGGCCTATAGAGGGGATGGTGGCATTGATGGATTTTAACCATTTGGCTGACTGGCGCCTTGAGCCCACGACCGCCACCATTACCCTTTGTATTCAGGGTGACTGGTGGTATTGATGGCCTTCGAGGTTACATCTCAACACCTACGCTGTTGACTTTTTCTGGAGAAAAATGATGCAGCCGGATGAGCCAGATGCTCTTTCTGCCGAGCATTCGAATTTAGCTCTGCCTGCAGAGCCTGAACCCACGTCCAACACAAACACGAGAACAAACACAGGCAAGTTGGTCAATATTCCCATGAAATGCGTTTTTCAGCCCTGTATTTACTTTTCCTGTGCTGAGATACTCATGGAGAGTGGGAAGGATGTATCCCCGACAGTGTTTTTAACAGCGCAGCGACCCAACTTAGCTCTTGGAGCTACTGCGCTGCGTGCGTGGGTGCTGTCCTGCAGGCATACAAGAAGACGCTTCAGGGCTCATCACCCATCCTAGACACACTGGAATTATTGGTGCAGGATCTCATTCGGGTAGTATACCTAGTGTCGAGGTGAGACATAATTGCAAGAAGACGGAAAGTTCGCCGGACAGCACTTCTCCACAAGGAAGCCGTAAGAGCGGCTCGTCTGTAGGAGTGCCCCCTCGAAATGCTAAGAGAAGTTCGCGGGGTCACCAGGCAAGGTCCATTCGGGGTTACCCGGCAAGACGCAAGTCTCATCACGTGACTAGCTCTCGATTTCAACCTCGGGGAGTTGCAGCATCTGGAGGGAAGGCCGTGCAAGAACACCATAGACAACACCCAAAAGAACAAAGGGAGCGCCAGAATGAATATCAGAAGGGGAATGAAGATCCTCGAGAAGACAAGGGGCAACATTCTGCCCCAGAGGCGTTACCGCCTTCCCCATCTTTGGAGGCTCGCAGGTCCACTTACTTCAGCATATGTCTCAATGCGTCGCCTGATGAGTTAACCGTGGTATCGTACAACTTGAACATGCAAAGCAACTGGGGCCTTTTTGACGACAATTGGAAAAGACGGGAGGCTGCCCTTATTCGCTACCTGCTTTCCTTAGAAGAAATCCATCACCCCGATGTTCTTTTGATTCAAGGAGCTTTTTCCAGCTCAACGCATCGCCTTTTGCGGAGGCTGCACAGAGAAGAACCAATGTTCCCCTTCCAGACAAGGGTGGTTGGCGCCGACCCCGGATGTTGCAAAACCGATGACGAGGATGGATACTGCTCGTGCTGCGGAGGTTGCTGGTGGTGCCTTGCCCGGACTTCGCCCAAATCTGCGGGAAAGAGCAAGGCTGCAGGATGTGTAACCAAGAGCGGATGGGATTCTGTATGCGGGAGTTTCTCACGCCTCAGAGGGAATGGCGGGATCGTGATACTCTCGAAGTGGCCACTGCTGCGTCGTCATGCCTATATTTTTTCTGCATCCGCTTATCCGGAGTCACTATGCAATGCGGGGGCGGCTTTGGTTCAGGTGGAGAAGTGCGGCAAGGTGTACAACATGCTTGCTATGCAGCTGCAACCTGGACCAACCAACAACGCTCTCCGCGTGGCTCAAGTAAAAGAGGTGATGGCCTGGGCTAGAACTGGAATGGAGGATGCAGAGAAGGTGGAGTTTGCCTCGTGCGATCTTGACGAAGCCTTCACTTCCCCGGGGGAGGGGAGTACAGGCACTGAAGGCTCCGTCACATCCAGTGAGGCTCCGGGAAAAGCCGACAGGCCGCCCACAGAAGGACTGCCGGAGCTCGAGGCCAGTAGTTGTCCTGGGACTACAGAACCAGAACTGCCGAAGACCAAACCCCGTCGTCGTGCTGCCGAGCTTCCAAAGGGTATATTGAAAGCTACAGATCCCCTTATCATTGGAGGAAACCTGAACTTTCGTTTCACAGTGGATCGTGCTTCACTTGCTGAAGCTTTGGGGTCCGATGGTTTCAATGCAAATTTAGCGCTCGAAGATGCATCGGTCGCACAGGCGAACTTTGACACGGTCAACAACGATACATGTTACCAAAGTAAGGTATCCACAGAAACGTGTGTAATGTGGTATCTATACCATTTACTGGTGTAGTACACGAATGAGGGCCTGTCCATTACTTGTTGTTGCACGTGAAGTCGTGTAGATTATTTCTCCATAGGCTGGCACCGTATCCGCTCACAAGTAAGAGCTAACTCTACGTCTTGGGTTTCTGCGTGGTGGTTCAGGCCAGGGATGTCCGGAGAATTCGAAACAGGAGCTTCTGGATTACTTGCTGATATACTCTGAACACGCAGGTCGTGTTGCGCGTGGACAAAGGACGCTTGTGGACGCTTCGCCAGAGAAGATCCTTTATCGCCCTTTGGTGATGGGCTGCCTACCAGGCACGACACTGGAAGTTAGCCATGTAAGCGACTTTTTCCCCGTCTGTGCCACATTTGCCCACAATTCTGAGTAACGGTGATGCCGACCGAAGGAATCTGAGGATTCTTAGAGAACAGCTGTCTTGTCGCTCTCAAGAGCAGATGCATTGTACTACCTAAAGTAGTCTTGTTCAGCCTGAAGGGAAAATGTTTGCATACAGCGTAGGCTGAGGAGCCTGCGTAAGGCTGAAAAACTATGGACTAGCCCCTGCTGTCATCTATCAACCGCAGTAAACAGTGGCACTACATAGAAGAAGGTCGCGAAGGCAGCTGGATGCGAGTGTTTGGTTCATGCGAACTAGACAGAGGCTTGCTGTAATTCTACAGCTCGTTGTGCCGGCGGCGTCGCGTGGCTCGTCTAGGGAAAATTCCTTGAATGGGGCTTCGCAGTGGGGACTTCCTGTAGGAACCTACTGTAGTAGTTTTGGTACAAAGTATGACTTCAGCTGCAATGCGGCCGGACTTCTGTTTCTGAGTTCAAATACAGCTCAGGTGCATTCTGCGGATGTATTTCCGCACTTTACCGCACTAGCGATGGCCCCATTTTAGTGGAAGTTTAAACCCCTTCCATCTCTTCTGGTGGCACTCGCTGGTATTTTAATTTCCTCCAGGACCAGTGATTTTATTTCTTGCTGGTTTGTACGTACGCCGTCCATTCAGCTAGCACGCTTTCGTAGCACGCCTCAGCGTGACGGCAGTAAGGAGTAGCTTCGACCCTAGATATTGTCATAGATGTTCCAAAAGTCCAGGGCACTTCTCTGTGAAGAGACGCCATTACTGCGCCTACAGCACAAGCCTGCAACTAGCCGTTTTACTCTAAGCTCGGCTGCACTTGCAAAATAGGTAATATAGGCATCAAATGAATTGCCACGGCGGAGCCTTGCTAAATGGCACTCGCATCTGTTTCTTGTAATATCCGGCCTGTGGAGGGCTTGTAGGAAGCTTGACCAAACAAGGAGGAGCAGCTGCTCCTCCTTGTTTGCTCCTCCAGTGTCTAGGGGGTTCGAACTAGAAAGTTTCATGTTGACATGATCGGAGACACCATCAACATAGCCACAACAAGCTTCAACTAAACAAGGGAGAAACAAGCAAACTGAGTTCCGGTATTTGCTCGACCTTCGAGGTTAGTTAATAGTTAACCGTTCAGGATGCCATGCCATATACCCAGTAAGCAAATAAGCCACGGGAATGCCCACCGTTTAACATTCAGCAAAAGATCATTGCCATCCAACGGCGACCGGAAGCTTCTGCGACTGCACGCATCTCGTTCCTTCCTTTGCAACGAATGGCCTCCCGCAAATAACTGGAAACTGAGTTGATGATGAAGCGTTTTCCGTTACCCAGTTATCACGTTCTCGATTCCCAAGCAAGAAGGTTCCAGACGAACCTGCCAAGGCATATGGATTAACAGGAGAACTTAGTTGTCCGCATAGTCCACTGCTCGTGCCTGCAGATGTGAAATGGAGGTTAGGTACTGTCGGCAGCAAACCTGCCTTGGACAGCAACTGCTGCGGTTCCGAGACGATCCCAGGAAAGTGTTGTCGGTTCGAAGAGTTGAGACTGGAACTGCCCACGACCTTCGCCTGGAGTAGGTCTGGTTGTGTGTGAATGTCCTTTAGAATGTCTTCGTCTCGTGCGGTCCACATGTTCAACACCTCCACAGCAGACGGTCTGGCTGATGGATCGGGATGTAGGCATCTTGAGATGATATTCCGTGCGATTCCTTGGATCTCTTCTGCGATATCGGGGACGAGAGCTCCAGCTATTGCCTTTGACTTAAGCTTCTCGTAAATGACACTGGGGCTGTCGCGACTGGATATATGCACGTGCATAGGGTTGAAGAAGCCGAACATCTCCTGAAAGACGCATCCCATTGACCAGATGTCCCATTTCTCATTGAAAGGAGGTAGCTGTACCCCTGAATTCGACGCCATGCATTCCACAGGGCTGCAACGCAGCAACTCTGCAGGGGCGTAAAACCATGTGGCCCCAGATATACGAGATACACGTCCGTCAGCGGATGCTTCCGCATCCCCAAAGTCGCAGAGCTGTATGGTCCAGTCATCCGCTATCAGGACGTTTTCAGGCTTGATATCTCTGTGGACAACTACAGGCTTTCTCCCAGGAACAGGAGTGTGAAGGTACGCCACAACTGCAGCGAGTTGTCGGCACATGTACAGCCCGTTTTCTGGCGAAATGAAACGCCGCACACGCGGATCACGAGAATACTTCCGCGAGTGGAGATCACTACCGTTGACCAGTTGGGTAACTAGCCACACATCAAATGGCCCGTGCACAATTCCCCCCACAAGACGAACCACATTCGGATGCTGACACATGGAGAGGATTTTCCATTCATTCAGTGTACGCTCCATCACCCCAGCGGGGTCGGTGCTGAGCATGCACTCCACCGGTACCTTGATGGCTACCTTGATTCCCATATGAGACCCGACAAATACCTTTCCAAAACTCCCCTGTTCGATCATTGAGTACTGCAGCTCACCCCCAGGCAATAAGACAGAGTCGAAAGTAACGCTGCTGCTCATCAAGCAGGTTGGCCCTCTCTGCAGTTCAGCAACATTCCTCATCAAATCCCAGAATCGATCAGTCCCGTAGACAGTCACCACCTCTGCACGTTGATCATCACAAAGTTCCTCAGACTCTTCTGTGTTTCTTTGAAGAACTGTTTGCCACGGCTGCATGGGAGGCAGGAAACTTCGAAAGTTGGGCCCCTCTGCAAAGGCAGCCTGCCGCACTATCGAAGTGGGCTCTTTCCACCCAAAAGGTGACCGAATGGCGTTTTCGGTCACAAGTGAAACTTCAGGCAGTGCTTGACCGAACGAGCAGGCCGCAGGCCCCGCGGTGTGTGCAGGTGCCGCTACGAGGTGGTGGGATACAGACCCATCCGGACTCCTGATAGACTCCGCAGATGCGATCCCGTCAGGTTTCTGTTCCGTCCAGCGCAGAGCAGGGGGCAAGCTAGTATTGGAGCTAGAACCAAGCAGCAGTGAGCCCCCTGAGCCCTCAGGTGACTGGTGAACGGGCCCCATGCCTAGCCTGCCCCCTTCCCTTCGCCCCATTCCCCTTTCCCAGTGCGCTTCTGAAGGTCCAGCTTGGGCTCGACATGACAACCCCAAGAACGACGAAACTACTGCTTCAGGTGGCTCCTTCTTAGCCCATCTGTCAGGCCTCCGAGTAGGAGCAAGAGGAACGATACACGAGCTCGCCGGTTCTCTTTCGCCTTCCCGTGAAGAGGTTCCGCGTGGAACCTGCCTGCCAGGGACAAAAGAATGAGGCGATGGATAGCGGAAAGGCTTTGGAGCTTTAGCACGAATCCGTGGGGCTCGCGATGCTGGTGCTGGATTGCATATGGCTGCCACTGCAGCTAATTCAAATTTTGACGGGGAGGGGACATGGGGCGGTTTGCCTGAGCGACGACTGGTGGAAAGCAGCCCGCCATTCCCACCAGCCTTTCTGTATGTCATTCGCGGGCGACCCTCCCGATCAAGACGGAAAATATGCAACTGCCGTTCGGCCGCGTTGGCCAGTGGAGCTACCTTCTCCTCAAGCGCCCAGGACGGCGCTGGACTGTTCAGCTGAGACGTGCCTTGCAGATTGAACGGACTCTCCTCCACAAAATCTGTTGCGTCAGAAGTGCGACAGTTGATTGTAGCCCATTCCCCAAACGCTGTTGGCGCCATCTGGCCCGGGGCAGGGCTACAGGCAACACGCCATCTCGCGTGATTCACTACGTCCAAAGGCGCGCTATCAACAAACGAGTGGGCCATTCCCTGTATAGGTGAGAGAACTGTGGAATAGCTGCTGTACACTGCACGCCAGGTAGATCAGGCTGCACATTATGGTGGTCGCTGGTCACTGCAAATTCACAGTCCGCTGCCCCCTAGTTGCAGACCCATTAACCATGCAGCACCCTGCATATGATGGTTGTGGAATCCCCGGGGGGAAAGCGCGAGGACTCATAAGTGTTACGAAGATAAGGGCAGGCAATACTCCCTAGAAGCGCTGGCGATCGTCGGTACCCGAGACACTGAGTAAATCGTGCTCAGAATTCCGAAGGCGGGGCCAAGTGTGTCTTAATTGCCTCTACGCAGCTGGAAGGAATGGAAAATTCAGGCAATTCGCTTGAGAATTGACCTTCTGTCGAAAAGTAACGCCAATATCTGCTTGTCATGTTGCGGGGGTGACGGTGAGAAACTAGCCATCGCAACAAGAATGGCCCTACCCTGCCCTGGATCTCATCAGCAATTTCACCCTCTTTATTCTGCAACTTTTGAAACAAACGTCTGAAAAGATATACGTCGGTTTGAAATCGGTCAGCGCGGTGGGTACGTCTCATGCAGGAGGCAGCCGTGGACCGCTGTAGTGCATCGCGACTGCGCACTAAAGGGGTTCTCGTGGCCAAAGCGATAAAGGGCGATTCAAATGAATAAAATTCATGCGATTTCATTTCAGAGGGGCTATTCTTCAATAGACTCTGAAAGTGTGCGGACATCGGCCTTCAACGGCCGGTAAACCGTTGGTCAAGGTCTGAGTGCCACTAGAACTAGACCCGACGGTATACTCCTGCTCATTTTCTCCGCACTGAACGATTCCTTTAGCTGATAAGCTGAATTTTGAGGCCTCATTTTCTTCGCGCAGATGGTAAAAAAAGAAGACTTCGAGGGAACTGCGGCGGCGGCCCTCTGCTGAGGTGTGTCAGCCGTAAACTGAACCGCTCAAGGAGAACTGAAGAAAAATACACGCAGCCCTCAGATTCCCCTGCTTCCCCAACCATAGGTCGCCTAAAGTGTAGTTTTTGGGCTTGTCTAGCTGGGTAAGCCCGAGGAAATCTGCCTTGACCTCTGTTAGCAATCACGGACATCGCTGTCGTGTGCATGCCAGTCTTTAGAAAGGATAGTTCTGCACATATGCTCAGCGCCAATTGCTCTAGCCAGAGCAATTACTCTAGCAAGAGACTAGATATTCGGTGGCCAGGTGGGGATGGGGATTCGTACCGGCATACGGATTACCTTCCACTGAAGCGGAGAGTGCTTCGATACGCCCTAATCCAAATTTTGCTGGTTTCGAGGGAGACATCACCAGTTCCTTCTTCTAGTCCATGATCATATTTCTCTTGTTGGTGCTGCTGCATGCAGAAGCCTGCCTTTAATTTTAATCACTCAACCCTACCATAAGTCATAATCCACACAAAATATCATAAGCACTTGCCGTAGGTCTGGTACGAACTTGCCATCACTTGAAGGGCATATCAGCCTGTAAAGCTGTGATTTTACTCCCACATCTTCTAATTCGTATGCACTCTCAGAATCGTAGCCGCATGTAATACGCATGTAATGTGCGCAGTAGTGTGGTGGAACAACTCTGTCAAAAACTCGATTGCTTGCTGGGCAGACGAAATGAGAAAGCCTGGCAAAACTTCATTTGAAGCCACACTCCAGTATAGAGATAGGCAGAAACAACAAAGACTGAAGCGTCCCACTTAGTCGAGGCGGGCCAATACGCATTGCAACGAAGCGACACGGATTTCGAACTACTGCAGGCTGCCTCCGTAGGCGTCAAGAAAAACAGCAGAGTAGATGTCAAATTTCTGTTCTACCTGTAGAGGCGCTCAGTATGGCAACGGTGGGAGCGCTTTAGCACGTTTCTACAACATATAGGCCACGACAGAGACCCCGCTTGCTCCCGACTGCCATGCGCGCTTCCCTGCCTCCCGTACGCAGCTGCTTCCTGCGACAGGGCCAAGAGGAAATGCGAAATAGAGACACACCGTCAAAGTTTTTCAACTGAGAGGGGATGGATGTAGACTTTTATTCCGTCCTCTGTTAAAGAATAGTGGCTTCCTTCAAGAACCACCCGGTCAGGTGCTTCAATCAATGCATTTAGTGAGGAAATGTTTTCTTTCCTGCATTTTTGAAGACATTCATTAGCTCTCGAGTCGAGCTAACTCCTCTGAGGGGTTGGCTTAGGCTGCATAACTTCCAAGGGTGGTTTTATCGCAGACATGGGGTCTTGCGAAGTGAATCGGCGCTAGCGTCGTTTTCTTGGAGCCCTACAAGGATCTGGATGATGGCGTTTTCGGTGCACCTAAGAAGGGGGTCTCGTAGCACTGTGTATTTGGTCTCAACAAGTCGCTGGAGACAAAATAACACAATAATCTATTCGGTCATTCCCTCTTGGTGCACCCGAAGTGTTTTGGCTGCTGGAACTACGGCTGAGTTGGATCCAGTAGTTGTAAAGGGTTCAACTCGCATCACACCTGCCGCTAAATAAAAATTGCCGCGACACTGCTATGCAGGTGTGTTCTTACCCGTTTCAAGTTCTACATCAACATTGCCGTAGTTCTGTCAAGCCAATTTTACTGTTGCTTTACCGCTCGTGCACACAACCGGGCAACGCGGCTGTCAGTGTCAGCCCGTGCCAGCTTGCTTCCTTGACCTGTGACCCAACAACCAGTGCCGCTAAGCTGGCAATTGTTGAAGGGACACAGGTCAAGGAATCAGGCTAGCAAGGGCTGGCAAACCTGCGGCGCGTCCAGCTGGGTGAATGCAGGCTCTCGTGTCGCGCGGCAGCTGTATCGACCTCTGCAATGAGAACGAAAGTGTGCTGCGGCACCTCAGCGCCACTACGAAGTAACATAGGGGTCGACTGCGATAAATCCTACTGCGTGATAAAACGCAGATTTCGAGAAAGCGCTGTAACGAGAGAGTTGCCTACATCCAAGAGTTGGGTCAACCGGCTGGTCAGATGAAACGGCCTTCCCGCAGCAGCTCCCTTGACAGGCGGCCATCGGCACTTCGCTCCACAACCGCACTTACTGAGTACAAATTGCTTTTAAGAGCACACTACTAGGCTTCCCTTTCTCCCACTTAGTTGTATGGGGCAGCGAGGATCCTGTGTCTACGGCGTGCACCCCCCGACGATCCTTTCCTCCAACACTGGTAAAGACTCTTCACGTCATCCATACACAGCGGAAAAATCTCGCCGTCGTAATGAAGATTCTGCTGAGAATTTCCCAGCCTCACCGCAGCCAAAAATGCGTTCTGCTGAGCCAGCCCACCGTAGCTACATCGTCCATTTGGAGATGAAGGCAGTCAAACCAGCCAAAGTACACCCATTGACGCAAAACCCTTTTTTCCAGAGTTCTAGTTGAAACGCCGTTGAGCAAAGGAGTAAGATGCTGAAGTAGGGAATAAATGTTTACAACACAGCACATGCTCGGAGAGTCAACGCAGCACTCAACTGGCAAGTTATAAAAATTTTCCAATTCAGATGGCGACAGAAATGTAAAAGGTATGCGAACGAACTTGAGATACCTCCATGCTCTGAACATTGTACACAAGGGAGTACAACACACCCACAACCCTTTGCTTGTTGCCCAGTAGCATTCTGAGCCGATAATTCCAGGTCGCTGGAGCTTACGCGTTTGGAAGAAACTAGGGAAGGGAAACGCCAACTGGGAATCAGGCGCGAATAGAATTTTCGAGACAGCTGCGCTAAGAAAGGGTGCAGAGTCAGCAGTAATTCTTGCGAATGCCTGCCAAGCAGTGTCACTAACAACACACAATAGTGCTGTGGAGCCAAAGCTTTGCCCAGCCAGTGGGGCCTAGGACAGTTCCCCAGCCAGTGTTCGATTCCAGACGGGTGCAAAAACTGTTATAAATAGCGAGGTGAGTACTGCGCTAACTCTCCGAGTATGTGCTCTGTTGTGAACATTTATTCTGTACTTCAACATCGTATTCCTTTCGCTCAATGCCGTCTCAATTGCAACTCTAGAGAAATAGGACGGGACGTGCGTCATGGCGGTGAACCCCTAACTTTCGGGCGCCAACATCGACTGTAGCCGACTAGCCAAGACATTGGACTGACGGGAACCTAAACAACTGTGCAAAAGAGGAGCCTTTGCCATTCACTGCTCATTATTGGGATCACGAAGTGCCAGCTAATGCCTAACAAAGACTGGTGGGTTGCTACGTTGTTCTGGGCCCTTGAATAAGAACTGAGCCTAAACGATATACTGAGATGTCAGCTTCTATGCATGGGTGCTTGACTGAAGGCGCGCGTATGAAGCAGTCCGGCTCATATATCTCTGAGGTCGATGCGGAACTGAACAGCTGCTGGGGCAACGTGGCCCACTAATACTGCCCCCAAAATCGCAAATCTCAAGCAAATGCTGAAAATAATCAAGGAAAAGAAATTTCGAGAAAGGTAACTTGTAACTCCCGGTAGCAACATGTGCATCGACTGGGAGCCCATCCCGACTGTGAAAGTGAGGCAAACACTATTGCCATAGAAAAGGTCCTAACATAAACAAAGCCAGAAGCGAAATTCATCTACTAATTCGGTGCTATCCCTAGGAAAGTGTTACCTCGCTCTTCTACCGGCGGACGTTCTCGATATCGGCTTGACGAGGCTACACTGTAGACTGGTGAGATTGCCAGCTGCTAATGAAATCCACTTGGACACAACTCATAATGCATCGGAACACGAGGAAATGCTCCACATTTACCCGAAAAGTGTGTGCAGTTGTTTGCTTCCCCTTTGCGGCGCTCCGTCAGGAGTTGCCTGGTGGGGCTTTCGGCCGTGGCGGTCTCAGAGACCTCAACGGCTATTTCATACTCCTCGTGTGATGACATAAACAATTGCATGTTATTTCACCGCAATTATCATTTAGGGGTGGATAGCCTTTGCCTTGCATTGATCAGCGCGTTGTTGCTGTTCACTGGCGGGAACTTCTCTAGACACCTCCTAATCCAATATCTCCCAAGCTTCCTTTTCATGTGAGAATTGCTGCTGAATTTTACCTTGCCTTGCTTATAAGATGAACGGGATTTTCTTGGATGGCCTCAATCCTCGTGGATCCCGAGCTTTCCGCGGCCAAGCGCGTTTCGCTTGACTGCTGCAGCCGGGATGGGTTACGCCTCCTGCTTGCTTCCACGATCGTCCAAGGCTAAGATAAAGCCATTTCCGCCTCTTATTGGCTGTTCGGAGCTTAGGGTTTAGCATATGTCGCTGTGGCAGCGGCTGCCTGCCTCCCAGACCACGGAGATTGCTGCCGCAATCCGTCCGCTGATCCTGAAATTTCACAAAACCCGTTGCACACTTCAAACCACCAGACTCATTTCTCACAAGACGGAGACGTGCCACATCCCGTGTGGTTCTAATGAGACAAATCATCGTACTTCGACATCCTTGGAAGAGTTTCAGAACTTCGAAGGTGAGTTCTGCACAAGAGAAGTCTTGTTGCTCCTAAACGACAAGAAGAGATCAACATTATTCGAAAGTTGCACAGGCAGTCGTTGCCTGCGTGCTCCCTCTTAAGGCTGCTGCTGAAGAGTGTTAGGGGCACACACGGAAGGAACGGAACCGACACTCACGGGTAGTGGGTGCTTGCTTGGGCGCATGCTTGTGCTTGTTTCCCTCTTTCACAGACTGCCCCGCCTCACGTCCAACGCTGCAGCTTCAGAGGCGAGGCAAAGCAGACGCTACCCGCCGATTGCTACCTTCTTGGATCTTTGCGCACGAGATACAGAATTTCGGCGAGCTGCAGCGGCTGCAGCAGCAAGTGACTCTTGAAGCAACAGACTCGCGTGTATCTCCACAAGATGGCAAACTCTTCCCTCTAGCTGTGAATGTAGTGGACAGCGAAAGTAACTGTTTCTTGGGCTGCGCTATATTCCATTCTCGGCCCCTGATTGCCGCGCGGGTGCTCGAGGGCGTCTCTGCTTCTACGTCGTTAAATGCAGAGTACTTGGGACACCGACTGCGCGAGGCAGCTGACAGGAGACGAAGCTTGCCGCCAGATGTGCTGCAACCCGCAGCAGCAGCTGCAGCAGCAGCTGCAGCAGATCGCGAGCCTCAGAGCTGCCCTTCACACTCCCAGACCGCCTCCGTTCCCCGAGGGTTTTACCGCCTGATCAACGGAGAGAGTGACCACCTCCCAGGAACTGTTGTTGACGTATTTGGAGATATGGTGTCTATACAGCAGCTAACACGAGGCAGGTAGTGGCTAGAAGGCGCACACACAGCACAGACACCAGGGCAGCGACACACCCGCTGGAGACAGAAGCAGCATGCAGTAGGCCGTTTGTTCCCACGCCGTTTTTCTTTTGTTTTTCACAGGAAGCGAGCTGCTGACCGCTCCGCTTGTCGCAGCCATTCAGGAAACACTGGGGCCCTCTGCCGTGGTGCTGCGGAACGACAGTCTGCTGCGAGAGCTCGAGAGAGATGCCTCCTTGAAGTCATACACCGCTCTCATCAGCGGTCGGTTTTCTTCGTAGACACATGCAGCAACCTGCCTGTGTGCGAATTTGTTGCTTCGCCTATTGCCCACGGCACTACAAACAATGCGCTGCTGCTGCTGCTGCAACCACTGCTCTCCGCTCAGGGGAACTGCGCGACTGGCAGTGGATTAAAGAGGGAGGTTGCTGCTTCCCTGTCGATCTCCTTAACAGCCCCGACACGGGTAGGCGTTTGCTTAGATAGAGAGCGCTGTTTCGTCGTTGTTGCTTGCTCTCTTGCTGTTCCTCCAAGTCACCGGCGGGACTGCCCACAGTGGATCAGCCTTGAATGCAGCACGGGTTTCTAGGAGAGTTGCATCTGGGTAGCTGTGGCTAGCTGACCCTTTTTGACGAGCTGGATACTGCTAGTTCTATGGAGACTTCTGGGCCTTTGCATGCGTATGCTGCGGCTAGCGGTTTTCAGCTAGCTATCAGACTAGACTTTAGCTAGCTGCGTTATTCAGGGCTGCGTGCAGGCTGGTACTACGATCGGCGGGGAGTGCGGGCGGCTGTAGCGGGTTTGGCCGTCGGAGGGCGGCTGCTGGATCTTCATTGCCACTCGGCAGGTGCTGCGTGCAGTACCCTTTCGGCTTGCTGCTGCTGGCTAGTCAGCTAGCTACACCGCTGCGCTGCCGATGCAGCTAGTAGCGCTATCAAGCCCTAAACGCAACAGCAACTACAAGGCTGCTGCTTTAGCACTATGAATGCTGTTGTGCTGGTGTGTGCGCTGCTGCAGCGTTCAGCATTAGGGCACTGCGGAGCGGGGCAGCGCGCTCCTCTGTTTGTGTGGATATCTCGAGCAGCTCTCTTGAGCTGGCAGCAGAAGCAGCAGCAGCGAACGGCGTGCAGCAGCAGCTGCTTCTGCAAAAGGCTGACGCGCTGCAGTGGCTGCTGCACAGAACTCGCCATCTGGCACTACAGCCGTCTTGCACAGCTCCTCAAGGCTCTCTCCCTTCCGTAAATAGAGAAGCTGCTTCCATTGAGGCAGCACTTGGTGGCAAGAAGCGAACAGGTGAAGTGCCTGTAGGTGGGTTGCCTGCGTACTGGCTTCTATTTATTCTCCTCTGCAACTGCAACACCGAAATGTCCCCCCCTTGCAGCATTTTCCTGTGAGACCTGCTGTTAATTCAAAGTGCTACGTGACAGCAGCAGCAGCAGCAGCAGCTCAGGAGAGGCCTCCTTCTGGGTGTTGTGCGGCTGAGTGCTCAGAGGCGCAGTTCGACATCATCGTTATAGATCCACCCCCTCCACAGAGACAAGGACTGGTGCCTGCCTTTTCTGACGAGCTGCTGCAGCTTGCCGCTGCTGCTGCGAGGCTCCTCAGCAGCGGAGGGCGTCTTGTGGTCGTTGAAAGCAGCAGGTTCCTCAGCCTGCAGCAGCTGCTGCAGATTCTTACAGATGCAGTAAACGCCGCAGGCAGGACAGGTGGGACTGCTGCAGAAGGGGCTGTGCATCAGCAGGCGCGGCAGCAGCGCCGCTGCATTAGCCGAGGCTGCTGTGCCCTTCACACCTCCCCAGTGTCGTGCAGATATACATTTACATATACATATATATGTATATATATCTTTCTTAGAAGCGAACAACACAATTATGACTGCGTTGTATGCATTGGAAATTGGATTTCTTTTGGGATAGGGAACAAAGGCTGTTCTGCTGCTGCTTGCTGCTGCCGTTGTGCGGTGTAACTGCAGCAACCCTTGAGATGCACGGGGGCCCCACGCTGGACTGCCCTCAGGATCTGCTTTCGCAAGGTGTCTTGGGGATGAACTGGGTTGTGCTGCAGCTCACATAGTCTCTCCCTCCCCTCTTCCCCTCGGCAAGCCCCCAAAACGCATGCATGCATGCATGCAAAGATTCATGCATCTAGGGAAAGCGCCTCCACCTGTTCTTCAGCACTGCTGCAGCCACCTAACTCTCCTGCATGCGCCTCACAGCGTGTTTCAGGGGTTTAGTGCACCGTTTTATTTCTAAGCGACGAATAGCACTTTTTGGGGTGGAGGAGAAAATGAATTTTGGTGAGAGGTAATTTTTTTTGGCTTCGAGAGAAGGCTTCTCCGCAGCTTCTTTGCGGACTCCATTTGGATACAGGTCGTGGAACTATTTTCCGTGTTGTTAGCTAATATCGGCGAGGAAGACGAATTTCGGAGGCCCCTAAGACAGATACCCCGTCTGCAATATGAGTGATTGCTTGGGATGTTACAAAGAGACGCAGGGAGAACCAAACACCTTTGTCTGATTCTCGTTGTTTGTTGCATTCATACACACAGAACGCATTCTATTTGTTGTATGCCTAAGCATGACGATGAAACGCCACCCCAAATAAACTCCTACCCTATCCCTCCTCCTCACCAATCTGAACGCACGTGTGCAGCGTCCAGCCCGCGACCAGAAGAACTTAAGATGCTAATTAACCTCCCAGCTTAATCATGCTTGAGTTTGAGTTATTTTTTATCCGCAGTCCACACGACATCCTATATCCACGGCGAAACCGCACAATCCAATTCGCTCAGCCGGCGGCCGCAGCGCAGGCGATCATTCAAATCGTTGGGAACGACCAAACTTTGTATATAAAATTGCAGTACTCTACATCTTAAGCTGAAATACAACTTTGTGTCTTCTGTCTCCCCTCAACTCGCCAGCGCGCCCGTTCAGAGTCTGGACAGGTGCTGAAGGGGAGGGAAGGCTGTAGGTTGCTCGCTAGGGGAAACTTTCTGGCGAATTTCGTGCTGCGTATGTGCGCATTGGATACGCTTTCTGTTTTTGTATCAATTCCACTGGGTGACCAGTGGTCTGTTCTAGAAGGTGAGCTGGGAATGCGCACGGAAACCGCGGCGACTGCCGCCTGCGGCGCCGTCGCGAGTCGAGACGGTGGATTCCTTCTTCTTAGAGCTCCTTCTCGTATCACCTCTCTTACCTCCATTAATTTTACATACACGAAACGAAAATAAGCCGCTGGAATCAGCATCAGTGCAGCGACGGCAGGTCGCGACGCAGTGCACGAGGTAACGCGATCGAGGAGGGAAGCGCCGGTTTTTTAACGGGCTTACCTGTGAGCGATTGATCTTTCGTTTATTCTCTTGAATTATGATTTGTCTTTACGCTTTAATCTCCTTATAATCAAACAATTCAACGTAGTAAACAAAACGTACTGCTCTCCAGCCACCGGTGCCCATCATCGTCTTGCGGGAGCGGGGCTGCCTCCAGTCTTGCCTCCGAGCTGACCATACACCGCAACGGAGAGTCTGGTGCCTGTGCAGTTTTCTTCTCATTTACTTTGAGTTGAATCCCCTTTCCTTTTTGTTCACACCGCCGGCACGGGGGGAACCGGCTCTGTCCTATTCACTACACCAAGCCTCGCGGCGACACCTCTGCCGTGCCTAGGCGGACAGACAGACAAACCCTCGTGGTTTGTTCTTCTCGCAGAGGGGAAAGAAGCTTACGAGGCAGCTGCGGATTTCTTCGGGCTTCCCTGCTGGGTCCGGCGGCCACGCAAGGAGCCCCTGAGCATTGTAATCACTGCGAGCAACAGACAAAGGAGGAATTAATGCAAAGGGCAGCAGATGGAGCCCCTGCTCGAGCTCCAGCTCAGCAACCCACTCAATCATCAGAGCATTCTTTTTGTCGGCTTCTCCGGTGTCCATACTCCCCATCATAACCAGCGCTTTCTACGCAGCACGTCCGCCGCAGCCAGCTGAAGAGAAACTTGAATATTCTATTTGCAGCCCTAATGGTGGCCATCTGCACGGTATTATTGTGCATTTTTTGCGTGTTGTAGGGCTTCCATTGTTCATCCATACACACCTGTTGCATGCGGCTGCAGCGCTGAGAGAAGTTGTCACTCGCTCTGTTGATCTCTGTGCCTAGGCGAGACATGCGGATGTTTCTGTTTCTGTGTCATGGCCTTTATCGATCGGCTATATATTCTTAGCTTCCTTTTTTATTTTTTTGAATTCTCTATTTCCCCGGTTGCGCAACTTAAGCCGCGGAGAGGTTCGTCAGCCTCCCTGCGGCCTATCTGTTTTTTAAAGGTGCTCAGGGTATTTTTATAGTTTCTCCTTTTCTTTTCATTGCTGCAACTTGCACACCCTCAGTCGGGGCCTCTGGCAGCAGTGGGATAGGGCAGGAGCTCCGTGCCGCTGCAGCGGGTGGGAGGGCGGGAGCTCCTTTCGCTGCTGCTGCTGCTACTGCTGCTGCTACTGCTGCTGCTGTATCTGGTTTGGGTTTTGCTGCTGCTGAGGGAAGATGACGCATGCAATGCTCTCAGCGGAGGATCGGGGACAGCTGCGAGAGGCCGTAGAAGTGCTGCAGGGCCGGCTGTACTTCCGGAGTGTTTTTTCCCCTCCCCGAGACACCCCAACAATTCATTTCTTTTCTACAGATAAATTGTTTGTCTATGAGCCATTTTTCCTCGACTTCGGGCCCCTAAACCTCTCCTGCATCTACAGATACTGCATGCTTCTAAAGGCCAAGGTAGGATACAAGGAGCCATGCAAATAATAGGCGGATTAGCGGAAAAAGAAGTGTCATGTGAACGACAAGAGTGCACTAATAACAATAGTACCGAGTAAGAATTATCAATGCAATAACCCCACACAGGGGAGGATGAATACGATACCGGTGGTATTAGCAACAACAGTGTAGTAGTTAACATTGATAATATGGATAGTAATTGTAATTACAGCGGAATGAATCTTCATTAATGTGTGTACATTAAACATTCATTGTGCCCTTGCCTGCAGTTAGTTGGGTCAATTCAGCTTCTATATAATATATATATGTATATCGTGCTGTCTGTTTTTTTGTGAGTATAGAGGTTCGTTGTTTTTCTTCTATGTTCTTATTGTGGGTGTGTATGGGGTGTATGTACGTACAGCTGGCGAGCGATTTGTTGCAGCGGAAGGTGTTGGTTCATTACACAACGTATTCACAGCAGAAGGTGACGAATGCAGTTTTGCTGTTGGGTAGTTTTTTAGTGGCTGCAATGGGCAAGACACCGGAGGAGGCAATGAAGCCCTTTGCTCGCCTTAATTCTCATCTAAAACCATACAGAGATGCAACATATTCTGCTTGTGACTTCCGCCTCCCTGTTCTTGATTGTCTACGAGGCTTGGCCTATGCAATGCAGGTGCGGGTTGCAGCTTTTTGAATGAACAAAGCCAATAGCAGCAAGCAAAGAACATTACAACGAAAACCTTACAACGAGAGGGAGAGACATTCATTTCGGGGGGTTCATTACAAGGATGGTTATTGCATGGTTAATATGTATTTGTTTATTGGAATGCGTTGGCTGGGTATCGAACGCGGGACCTGTCTGCCTCTCTGTGTCATGCGTTGCAGCTGGGGTGGTTCAGTTTGTCTTCTTTCAACCAGGCGGCCTATGACCACTACGAGAAACTCGAAAATGGGGATATGAGTTGGGTAATACCAGGAAAGTTTCTGGCATTCAGTTGTCCGTCTGTTGGGGCTGCAACAATGAGCGCAAGACGCAGCGAAAAAGAAGACAGCAACAGGAGCTGTAGCAGCAGCAGTAGCAACAGCAGCAGCAACAGTAGCAGCAGTAGCAGCAGCAGCAGTTGTTGCGATCCTTCTTACTATGTACATGTTTTTAAGGAGCTCAATATTAAACTTGTCATACGACTTAATAAAAAAATGTATGATGAAAAAATATTCAAAGACGCAGGGATAGACCATCAAGACCTCTTCTTTCTCGACGGCACATGCCCCCCCAGGTTTGTTGTTTTTGGTTTTTTCTTTCTTTGGTTTAATCTATCAATGCTGCAGCTCCTCAATTGCCGTCTTCTGCATTGAAACGCCAGAAGCACTTAAGTGTAATTACGGATTAGACGCACTTGGGATGCATCATTCTTTCTTTTCTTAGGTAGAGCAGCAACAAGAAAATATGTTTGCCGTATAAAAGATACTTTCATATGCGAACTTTTTGTTGCTTTCTCGGTTTTTTTCTTCGAAGTGGCAGTTTCAATGCAGGAGCAGCGGCTTGCGGTGATATAAAACGTGCAGCGAATGCATGCATGCATGCATGCATGCATGCATGCATGCGTGCATTGGGCGTTGTCTGCCTGAAGCACTGGGGTTGTGTGAATGCATTGAAAAGGCGCAAGGGCTTAGTACGCATGCATAAGGAAGTAACAGGACGGGTTCTTCTTTGTTTGTGCTGTTTCTTGGTGGTGCTATACACAGAGGTGTAATGGAGAAGTTTGTACAGCTATGTGAGGCGTGTGACGGCGCGGTGGCTGTACACTGCAAAGCGGGACTTGGGCGGACAGGCTCTCTCATCGGCTGCTACGCTATGAAGAATCACAAGTAAGTCATCCTCTATGTATATACATATATATATATATATATATA